GATGTAGCGGGCAGAGAACTGTCCACTTAACCTTTGTGAAAATCCCTTCGCCAACCTCTGCCGAGTTTCTGCAAATGTATTTAAAACGCCCAGTGCCTAGGGGCTGGGGAAGGGTGTTACTGGGTGCAAAGGAGACAGGGGATCCACGGGGGCTCGGGGTGGGGGGCAGGGAAGAAAGAGTTCTGTGGCTTCCAGTCTTAGAACCCGGCCAGGTTGTGCTGTGCGCTTTACAAAGATGGTGGTCCTGGGAGTTTCTGCATCTGTTCGGGACAGCTGTGTCATTCTCGGGGCCCAGTGCAAATGAACATGTGGGACCCCCTTGTTCAGAATTCCCTAAGAATTGTAAGATGACGGCAGTCAGTGCTTTACTCAAGGGTTGGCGGGGGACTGTGTGGAGTACAGGGGTCGCCCTTCTGTTTTAGGACTCTCTGGGGTTGGTGAGGGAAGAAATGAAACTTGGGAGGTATGTCTGCTAACTTCTCAGTAGGCTGTCGGGAGAGGCTGCGGGGACATCGCCGTGGTCCCTGTCAACGCGCTGCTTTTTCTGTCTCCTGTTTCTTTGTCAAGGGAGACCGGGAGCTCCACCAGAGGGCATCTGTATCTTGTTCCTCCCTGGTTTTTGCCAGAACAATCGCAGAAAACTCAAAACGGTGGTTAAATTAGGGTTAGAAATCATGTGTCCTGGGTCCTTTCCACAACTGAAGCGTTTTTTTCATTCTGTGAGTGAGTCCGAGCCACCGAATGCTCGGCTCTTCACCCCCCCCCCCCGCCCCGGGCCTTTCCCCGCTTTCCCTTGCTCCCGCCTGAGCTGGGCTTTCCCCACCAACTTGCAAGTCCCTGCATAGGGACATTTTATTCAGCCGAGCTGGGAAAAAACCCAGTAAACATTAGAATATAAGTACCAGTATCTGCTTCTCCTTCTCTCCTCTATCTGCCATTTTTTCCTCCAGTTTTGTCCTTTGGTTTTATTTGTCTTTTCTCGTTCAGAACACCCGCATATAGAGACACCCGCATATAGAGATGCCCGCTAAACACGGGTCCCCCATACAGCCCTGAACTGCCCGTGTTTTCGTTGCCAAAAAGTGACGATGAGGCACGGGACTGCGTGCGAGCTCAGTAGAGTGGGAGCAAATAGGGCCTCCCTTTTTGAAGCTGGAAAGCCGACGGTCACCCCTCACCCCCCCGCCCCCCCAAAATACCTGCCAGTGAGGGAGCCTTGCTGAAGAAGAAACACCGGTGACCTCCTGGCGGCGGTGGCTCCGGGCGCCCCTCCTGCGAGGGAGCCCGGGCCTGTGGCTGCGGGGCAGGGGCGCCCGTGAGCGGGTAGGCCTGCTGGCCTGGCCACAAACACAGCAGATGAAAGGGGTTTTCTTGAGGCAGAGCAGACGGACAGAAAGAGGCCGAGTTCCCATTAACCCGTCATAAATCAGGACCCTCTTGTAAGAAGGGAAGAAGTGGAGCCTGCTCGCTGAAACGTTTGAGCCAACTTGTTATTATTTTTTCCTTATTAGAAAAGCACCTCGTGCTTGTTTACAGAAAAGAAATCCATGTGAAGAATTTAGAAAGTACCTGTGCCCGACCAAAAGATAAACCCATCCCTGGAGAGAATCGCCTTCACACCTTTCAGCATAACCCTTCAATTTTGTCCTGTGTCCCGCTAACACGCACATGCGCGCACGTGCACACAATTATTGTTTCATAATAAGCAAACGCATGCCACCCTTTCAGTTAGATAGTAAAAGAAGATGTAACTAGGTCTTGCAGATCAAACACCAAGCGCAGTGGTTTGGGTCAGGCCACCAGCATAAATTTTAGTCATAAAACTGAAGACAACGTGTAAATTTATGTTTGGGAAAGTTGGGCCCAGCTCCAGGGAAGGACAGTTCGTTGGCGCAGAGGGCCCTGCTGAGTTTACGGCCTCGGCCTCGGCCTCGCTCCCAGGAATGCTTCCAGGAGCTCCTGGGGAAACGCCGCGGGCCGTGCCTGGTTGTCCTGTTGCCCCCTAGTGGTTCAAGGGGAATTGTTCGGGCAGGAAAAGAAGTCGGCCCATGGGGCCCTCTCTCCGTCTGTTTTTCGTGATCTGCCAGTTTGGATCAATGGATGCCCTTTATTCCCTCGGTAAAGGTACTGACCCAAGCCCAGGAGATAACGAACACTTGAGCCTAGTGGGTCTCCCGCATGTTAGGGCTCAGGTCATTGGACTGAATCCTGGCACCGTGTTTTATGAGAACCAGGCGCTATTAAATGCTCCCTTTGTGGGAGGAGATACTCATTCTTGGAGAGAGCCTACGGGTTGGTCCAGCCAGTCACCCTCTGCCGTGTGCATTCTAGAGGCCAGTAGTGTTCGTGGACAGTTCTTTTCGTGTTCATGTTCAGTGTTCAGTAGTGTTCGTGGACAGTTCTGTTAGTGCCGGTTCTACTTGTTATGATGAAATTTAATTAAGTACAAAAATTAGTGAAAATCAAACCCAAGTGCAACCTATTATAGCTGCTTCATCAGAAATACTGGAATGCTTTGAAAAAATATCGGTGGTGCTGAATTACTAAAAAGAAACATGGTGTTATGTGAAAAGTGCGAAAAATGGAAAAATCCAGAGTTGTGCACTTCAGGTTATTTCATTAGTGCTTTTAAGTTCTTTTTAGGGCTGAAGAAACAAGCTCGAACTCTTCATGGTTAATGTTGGGTATTTGTTGAATGAATGAGTCCCTATTACTGTTTCTTCTCTGCCTTGGCCGAATGTGCGTTAAATGGGCTTACTATAAGACGCCAATAACATAGGTGTTTTATGGCGTTGCTCCCTTGTGCAAGCATTTGACCCATCACCAGCATATGGTGCCGGTCGCCTGGCGCTGGCCAGCCGATCCCACCTTCACCTCTCTCTGTTCCCTGACTTCACGCAGTGTTCTCAGTCTTGCCTAAGGTGTTCCAGCCTGCAGCCACGCACCTGCCTGTACTTCTCACCTGCTTTCTCACCTCCATGCCTGCCTTTCTTCCATTCCTGGTAGCCAGCCTCCTTCATCTGGTTCATTCTGGCCTCACCTCTCCCATCGATCATGTCTTGCCACCTCCCTGGACGCCACCCATTCACTCATTTGATTCTTGCCTCCACGCGAAGATGAGTTCTGGGGCCCCCGCCTGTAGGCCAGGCCTGGCACACAGCAGGCATTCGGCGCATGATGCATGCATGCTGCACGAATAATCGGGGCACTGTTATAGGTCCTTCTCCGAAGGGGAAGCTTTCCTTCCTTTCTGCTCCCCTCGCACCCTGGGCTCACGCCCATCATTTCACACACTGTTTGGCATGAACAGCATCTGTCTGGCCGTCTCTGTCACCAGCTCCCGGGTTTGCACACTGCAGCTGGTGGGCCAGAGTCAGCCCACCATCTTTTCACTTTTTTATGTGGCCTGGGAGCTGAGGATGGCTTTTACATTTTAAAATATAAAATATAGAGGAACCAAAGACTATTCTTCATTAGCAGGGAGACACTGGTTTGGAGAATCGCTGACATTGTCTTGGCCTGTAAAACCCAAGCTGTTTGTCATTTGGGCCCCTTATAGCAAAGTGTGTCGGCTCCTGCCTGAGACTGCCGTCACCGAATTCCAAGGCTACAGCACTCAATGCACGTTCTTTGAGTTGAACTGAACTTCCTGTTCTTTATTCCTTCCTCTGGAGCCAGGTCTGGACTTGAATGCAGGGGGCCGACCTGTTGTAACTGTGAGACTGAGAGGCCATCTCTGAGCCTGTCCTCATCTGAAGACGAGACAACTGTACTTTCTTCCGATGGGGAGTGAACAAAGCCGTCCGCACATCCATGTTTTGCTGGTGCTGAGCACAGGCTTAGCGCTTAATGTGAGCTGTTATTTTCTGTCCAGACAGACATCCAGCAAAAGCAATCTGTTCATAATTGTATAAACCAAACTATAGAGCCGCTGCAAATATTTTTAAAAAATCAGTTCTTCCCAAAAATGGCCGGAGGTGACCTCGGAAAATGGTTCATTATTCTCTTGACCCACAAAATCATGCAAATCAAGAGGTTTGGATCTTTGTGTTCACTCTAAGAACACCTGCGAAACAGCCCAGCCATAAAGGATGTGCATATTCGAAAAACCACCAAGCACCTGAAGGACGTCACTTTACAGAAGCAAGTGTGTGCCATTCTGTTGTTAGCCACAACGGTGGAGTTGGTAGGCGCGCCCAGGCCAAGCAGTGAGGCTGGACACAGGGTCAGCAGCTCCAAACAAGTGCTGAATTTTTGCTGCACGTGCTGAAAAACGCAGAGAGCAGTGCTGAACAGAAGGGTTTAGAGGTAGAGTCTCAGATCGTGGAGCATGTCCGGGAGAACAAAGCTCCCCAGATGCGGCACAGGACAGAGCCCGTGGGCAGCTTCACTCGTATGTCAGTTCTCGCTGCCACATGGAGCGGGTCCTTCCTGAAAAAAGCAGATTGTCCTAACCCAGAAGGGGAGGTTGCACAGAAGAAAAAGATATCCCAGAAGAAAATGAAGAACCTTATGGCCTGGGAGTAAATGCAGCATAAAATAAATACTAATATAAGTTAAAAAAAAAAAATCGGCCATTTTGGATTAGCTTTTTTTCTTTTTGGTGGTATTGAAAATTAGGAATTGCCCTTCTGTCCATGGAGCTAACTCCTTAATTTTCTTCCCCATTTCTCTGTTTGTGTGTGTATGTGTGTGTGTGGCTGAATAAATCTCATACGGTGTGGACTTGGAGTTTCCAAGGCACCGTTAAGACAGAAGGTCTCACTGGAAGGGGGTGAGCACCCCTGGAGGTCTGTCAGGGTTGGGGGAAGCTGGGGTGAGGGCCTGGGGCCGTCTGCCACAGGTGCACCTTGTCTCAGCGGCGCAGGAGGTGATGGTGTGGGGGTGGGGCACACATCTGGCGCTCTGCATGGACTTTGAAGGCTGGCAGACACGGTAGAAAGACTGGCGGAATGGAAATGAATTCAGATATGAAGTGTTTTGGACCTGTTTCCTTGCAGGGACCATGAAGGTGAAGAGTGCCAACATCCAAGTCGGAGATCTTATCATCGTTGAAAAGGTGAGGGGGGTCTCACTGCTGCGTGTGTGCAAATGACAAGTCCCTGCCCCCCCCCCCCCGTCACGGGTCCTAACATGTCATTTGTGGCTCTGATACACGGACTGCGTGCTGCTTGCACTTCTATTCAGCAGCTCCGCCTGGGGAGAGAAGTGTCTTTCCCATGAGACGCATGCACAAAATATTTCTTGAAGTTTATGTGTGCTCGTTAGCCAGGAATCCGGCTGACAAACACAAGTTTTGATTTCCTGTTTGATGTGTTTGTTGTGTTGTTGCGGGATGCTTTTTTAACTTAACATATAAAGTCTTTCCTAGAAGTCTGTTAACTACGTGAGCACGTAAAAATGTTTGTCATTTTATCTTTGGAGCAATTTTAGCTTGCATTTTTTTGACTTAAACATCGTGCTTTTTAAAATCATTTTGATGGGGAGGAGGGGTTAATGTGAGAACAGTAAAAAGGCCAAAAAATGCATCTTTAAAAATAGCACTGCTAATTGGTGCGTTGCTTCCGCAAACTTACATCTCTTTTTACTGCGTATAGTTGGAAGGAATTGAATTTTGGGGGTGGTCCTGCAAAGTGTTGGAATAATATTTGATTAGAAAAAGACTGTGTCTCCACCAGTTTCTGTAGGAAGTGAACTATGCTATTTTAAAAGGATTAAATCCAAGAACTCAAAGTTGATTTGTGGCAAAGCGAAGCTCTTCTGGGTGGCAGTGCGGAAGAACAACACACACCCTTGTGTTTTCACATACTTCTTTCTGTTCACAATTAAATGCAGGCTGCTCTGGGCTTCTCTCTCTCTCTCCTCCCTCTCTCTCTCTCTCTCTCTCTCTCTCTCTCTTTTAAAATGGCTTCTGTTGCTTCCCGTGACTTGACTCCCGTATTCAAATCCCATGGGAAGCCAAACATCCAGCCGGAAAATTGGGAGAAGCAGGAGCATGCGCAGGGTGTGTGTGTCTTTCGTTTGAGCAGACGGCCTGGACCGAAGCCAGCGAGGGGAGCCGGCGTAGGGCCCGGGGTCCTCTGGCTGGAATTTTGGGAGGTACTGGTTGCATTCGCCGCAAAACTAGAAGCTCTCTTTCCAAGATAAGATTTCAATAGGGGATTAGAAACGGAACGGCAGCATGCAAGACTTTTTTCAGATTCAAAACAAAATAAACCCCCCAAACTGTCTTTGACAAAGGCAGACTCTGCAAAGAGGCTGTGGGCTTTGGCGCCCTCCCCCACAAAGGGGCTGGGGGGCCAGGGCACAAAACCCCCACGTGGGTATTCACAGTAACAGCCTTTCTTTTCTTAACGCAGAACCAGCGGGTGCCCGCGGACATGATCTTCCTGAGGACATCAGAAAAAAACGGTAAACATCTGGGATCAATTTTGAAAATAACCATTAACCTTTCAGTGGTAATTTGGCAAAATAATCATTTGAAAATGTAACAGAAGTAGATGATCATTTTGGAGCCACGGAGGCGAATCCAAACAGCCCTTTTAATAGAGCAGTCTTCCAAAATAAAAAAAAAACAAAAAACGTTTTCCGTGCTCGCAGGTCAGTAGATTTGGAGCCTATCAAAGGTACAGTGAGTGGGTCCCCTGCCGAGTCCCAGCTGGTGAAGTCACACACACACAGGGGCCCGGCTTTGCCTCTTTGCCTCCCTGGGCTGCGTTCCGCCCTGCAGCAGGAGCTGGCAGGCGGGGGCAGTGCGCCTGACCGAGGGAAGCACCCCGAAAGCCTCCGTCCTCTGCAACGGTACCAGGAGGCGTGCGACGGGATGGGGCAGCAGAGGAACGGGGCAGAGCCGTCGGCGGCCCTTGGAGCCTGGGAGTCACCGGTGGTGGGGCCGTGCCCGCCCTGGCCCGTCAGTTTGTTGACCATCCCAGCCCGTGGGAGCTTGAGCTCTGCTCACATCTTCACAAGCCCCTTCTCCCTGCAGGTCCCCTCCCCCCACCGGGCGGCTGCCACCACCACGGCCTGCCCACCCCATCGGTGGGCTCACATCCCCTTTCCTTTTTATTTTTTGTTATTTAAGCCGCGCTGAGGAAACAAGGCAGTTTTTCTCTTGCCTATCAGGCACAATCAGAGATCTTTGAACCCCTGAAAAAAGTGCACATTTATATTCCTTTGAGGTTACTGCAGCCTATTTTATTACAAATTGAATAAAAGTATGGATGAAATGTTATACTAATAATTCATGAAGTGGTGCGGAGAGGGGGGAGGTGGAAGGCAGTAGATGAAAGCAGTCTTTTAAAAGTTGCAGCCCTGTCCTCTAATTGGTTCTTGTGTCTTGGTCCATGAAAATGGAGTGTTGTGGATTAGGGTCCCTGAAGTTCTCTCCCTTCCAAAAAAAAAAAAAAAAAAAATTCCCCCCAAAGATTAGCAGTGTTCTTCCTGAAAAGCTCTCAGAAGTCCTAACCGCAGCGCGCGGCGAGGTCAGGACATCCCCTGAGGACACGTGCCGCTGACCGGCGGCTCGGACTTGTCCGTCAGACGCAGACATGCGCCCCTGCGACATGTACGCCGGTGATAGTCGCAGACTGTACAGTGCCCTCCAGGTCGCGTGGACCATCTCTTTAGTTCTCACAGCGTGAGGTCGGTGCTGTGAGCCCCATTTTTGCACTCGAGGCAGCAGGCTCAGCAAGGGTGTGCAGCTAGTAGTAAGTGGCGGAGCCCAGACTTGAACCCAGGAGGTTGGGTTCCTGAGAAGGGGCTCCTCACCCCTGCCCGGCACGGACTCGAATGCTGGTTGGCCCATGGCAGCCACCCGGCTGTGGGTCTTGTCACCTACTGAATTCTAACAGCAAGCTTGTGAGGTCTGCGTGTCTCCCCATTTTACAGAGAGGATTCACTGAGGCTTAGCAAGGTCCGGAAGCTTGCCCAGGCTTGCCCAAGTAGGAGAGCGAGGATTCGAATCCAGATCTTTCTGACCGTAGAGCTCAGCGGGGGAGTGGGAAGCCGGGTACATGTTTACTTTCCCGTTTGGTGGTTGGCCGTGTGTTGGCTGTTTTTACAAGGCCCCAGAGCAGGGGCTGCCCAGAGCCGCCAGGGAAGGCTTCTTGAACTGCCAGCAAATAGATGGCCCCCAACTTCCTTTCACAGGGTCTTGCTTTCTGCGGACGGATCAGCTGGACGGGGAGACAGACTGGAAGCTGCGGCTTCCGGTGGCCTGCACGCAGAGGCTCCCCACAGCCGCTGTGAGTAGCTTTCCCTGCAGGGGTGCGGACTGGCCACGGTCATGGCCGGGCTCTCAAACTCAGATGCCCTCTGGGGCCGGACATGGGATGTGCGAGGCAGGCTGGGGCTGCTGGGGTGTTTGGGGGTCCTGGGGAGCCTTGAGCGCCACTTGGCTCCAAGTACCGCGGCCATGCAGAGCGTGGAGTTGGCGTGCAGGATGGAGCTCTTCCGAGGGAAGCGCTCAGAATCTTAGCCTTGACTGGGTACTTGGTGTAAAAGTAAAAATAAGCCAAAGCCTGTCGTTCCTCTGCTCAGAACCGCTGAAGGCTATGCAGCTTCCTGGGCGTCTGTCCCACCTCCTGTCGTGCTTAAACCCCGTGTGATCTGTGCCCGTGCTGAGGCCCCGACCTCCGCTTCTGGCCTCCCCCCTCTTCCCCTGGCTGCAGCCGCGCTGGGCCCTCCGTCCGGCGCGCTTCTGCCTCCCAGCCTTTGCCCTCCGCTGGGAACAGCCACACCACCGTATTTTCTGCCGGCCGGGCATCTCCGTCACATCCTTAGGTCTTGGTCACAGGTCTTCTTATCTGAGAGGCTTTTTCTGACCACCCTCTCCCTGCATTCCCACTCCACTCCCTTCAGGGCAATATCTGGGAGGGCCGGGTTCTGCCCAGTATGTTCACTGCTTAACACCCAGGGTGTGGAAGAGCATTTAAAACAGTGCGTGGAACAGCATGTAGAACAGTGCATGGAACAGCATAAAAGAGGGCATGGAACAGCATATAGCCAGTGTGGAACAGTGTGTGGAACAGCACACAGGCCCTCTCTAAGGGGATGGTAAAAGTAGCCGGAACCAACAGGCGCTCAGAGCTCCCCAGGTCCCCGCAGTTCCTCACCAGCCCTGTGTCACACCACAATTGTAGAGGGAGGGAGGGAGAAGAGAGCCAAGCTGTAGGTTCGAACACAGGCCACGTGGGCTGGATGTGGCCTGCGGACTAGGTTACAAAATCACAATGTAATTTGAATGCTCAGAGACCAGCGTGTGCCCCCTGACCGGTCTGCAAGGATTAAGCAGAACACGTAAGCTTTTCTTGGGCTCGCGGTCACACTGGTGGATGCCGTTCCTTTCCTCCTCCTGGAAGGAAGGAGTGGGCAGGGGAAAGTTCTGTGTCTCCGTGGAGTTAGTGTAACAATAGGCGTGGCCGTGGTGCTAATGACTTTCCATTGCCAATAACAAGTTATTATTGCTACGCTTTAAAGCAGGAATTCTAGAGCAGCGAGTTTCTCACTGTGGTCCGGCGCTCCTGGGATTCTGTAGAAGGCACTGTTGTGCCTCTTAGATGGGGCTTGTCTAATAAGGGATTCTGATTTTATCGGGGTGACATGTTCTACTTTCTGGTAAGATTCCTCCAAAGAAAGGTTTCTGATCCTCAAAGTGATTTGAAGGACTCCCTTCGAAAGGGTAGCCTAGAACCTGCCGCCGAGAAGTGCGTGTCTCCGTGTGTCACCCAGTCCATAAGTGCCCTGCGACCCCTTGTCTGGCCCCAGCCTGGGTGGGGTCCAGAGAACCCGCTGTTGTCTGGGAACTCAGCCTTTGTGGCCAAAGGGGCCCGAGTGGGGAGCAGCATTTTAACACAGGTGGTAGATGAACAGATTGCATAAAAAGATTTCCTAAGAAATACGTGAGTGCCTTCCTGTTTCTTTAAAAAAAAAAAAATCAAGTTGTGCGAAAGCACTGGTGCAGTCCTGCCTGCCCCCACCCTTACCTCTGCTCCCCGGGCACCGTGTGAAGTCAGCGGTGGTCTCTCCAGGTCTTGCCCAGCAAGCTCCCTCACAAAGGGACAGCCATGGACTTGCTGGGGAGTGGGGCTGTACAAAGGTGGGATCATTCTGTATTAATTACTCTGCACCTCCCCCCATGCTTTACTTTAAATGTGTCTCTGGACCTTTTCTCATGAGACCTGAGAGGCCACAGTGTAAACACGTCTGCACGCGAGGACTCCCAGGTAGTGAGCAGAAAGCGCCGGCCCTGCCTGAGGGGTAGCCCGGGCCTCCCCGCCCCAACCATTGTTTCTAAAGGGTTTTGGGGCCCAAACTTGCCTGACCACCTGATTCGTTTTTTTCCCCAATTTAAAAAACTGTGGTAAAATACACATAGCATAGTATTTACGATCTTATCATTTTGAAAAAGACTTTATTTTTTAGAGAAACAGGAAGGGAGGGAGGACAAGAAGAAGAGGGACAAAGATACATTGACTGGGCGCGCCTCCAGCTGGGGTCCTGGCCTACAACCCAGGCACGTTCCCTGACTGGGAATCGAACCTGTGACCTTTTGGTTTGCAGGTGGGCACGCAACCCCCTGAGCCACACAAGCCAGCCCATCTTACTGTATGTTTAAGTGGGTAGTGCAGTGGTGTTACATACATTCACATTATTGTGCAACCTTCTCCACCACCCATCCCCAGAACCCTTTATCTTCCAAAGCTGAGACTCGGCCCCCACTGAACCCCTCCACGCCCCTCCCCCAGACTCTGGCCTCCACCCTCCCACTTTCTGTCTCTATGCCTTTGACCCTCTGGGGACCTCATACGCATGGAACCATGTGGTGTATGTCTTTCTGTGGCTGCCTTACTTCCCTTAGCATCATGTCCTCAGGGGTCCCTCATGTGGCAGCCTGTGCCAGAATGCCCTTCCTTTTGCCGGCCGACTAACGCTCCATGGCACGGGCAGACTGCGTCTCGTGTATCCGTCCAGCCGTCCATGGTCCCTAGGGCTGCTTCCGCCTTTTGGCTGTTGGGAATAACGCCACTACGAACGTGGGTGTACACAGAGCTCTTGGAGACCTTGCTTTCAGTTTCCAGCCAAATGGAGTTGCTACTCAAATAGCAATTCTGTGTTTAACCTTTTGAGGAACTGCCATACTGACTTCGATGGTGGCACCATTGGACAGTCCCATCAATAGCGCACAAGGCTGCCGATCTCTCCACACCCTCCCCAGCACTAATTTATTTATTCATTGACATCCTAGTGGGCGTGAGATGTTCTTGTTCCCCTTTTTGCCTTTGCCCTTCCCAGGGCTCTGCACAGGGCAGGTGCCCAATAGCCATTTGTTGAGGGAGCGGGTACTTTCATTGCCGTGAACAAGCCCCCCAAACCAGAGCATGGGGGCGGGGCTCTGTGCCATCAGACAGTTTGGGAACCAGCGTCTTCACTGGAGCATCTCTCCACGCCTTAGGTTATTGCACGTAGCACTTCCTAAATGTGCTTAGTGGGAGGTTTTCCCTCTTTTTTCCACTTGCCCCGTCATGTTAAGCGCCTGTTTGCTCGGTTCAGGAAATACAGTTGTTTTGGAAAAAGAGTGGTCATCTCCTGAAATCTCCCTAATCCTACATGGGCTTTGTTCTTACCTCCATTGAACAGGATCTTCTTCAGATTCGATCGTATATCTACGCAGAAGAGCCGAATATCGACATCCACAATTTTGTGGGAACGTTTACTAGAGTAAGTAAGCTCAGCTTGATAGAGACTCTGCCCTGTGTGTGCATTTGCCGTGGAACCAGCCAAGAAGCATCCATGGGCCTTCATCAGCTAGGAGCTTTATCGGGGGGGGGGGTCGGCGGGGGATCCCCTAGGAAGACCCGCCTGGAAAGCTGACACGCTGTGTCTCAGTAGGTCCCGCACAGCTGGGGCTTCCTTCAGCCTCTGCCCAGCTTGAATTACCTGGCAATTTAGAGTCACGTGTTGTTACAATTTACATTAACAACAATGCAAGTTTCTGTCTCCCTCAGATGCTCCCACATCCTCTGTAATTTCTACAATTACATCCTCTGTAATCCCTGCCCACCGTTGTTATACTTTTAAAGCCACTTCCCATCCATTCAGGGTAGAAATGAAATTTGGATATAAGTTACTGCAGGAATCAGAGACAAGAGATTGATAGAACGCACAGTGAGTGGTTTGTGTTGCCTTTCTTTAAGGCACAAGACTGTTCCTGCTTGATCCGCGTCTGCATTTTAGTTCTCACCTTCTAAGACACATCTTCAGTGTTAGCGGCTTGTCCTTCTTAAATCACAAGCCGGGTTTTCAGTGTTTCCACGGGGACAGCAGTCGGGGCACTCGGCCCCCTCCCCGGCCTGGGCGTCTAACTGGGGCCCACCGCCCTTCCCTGCCTGTCTGGAGAAGAACAGGGTAGAGGCAGCTTGTGTGTGTGGTTCAGAACCTGGCGCGATGAATGGGTGTGTTTGCTTCTTCCAGGAGGACAGCGACCCTCCCATCAGCGAGAGCTTGAGCATCGAGAACGCGCTCTGGGCCGGCACCGTCATCGCGTCAGGTGAGACGCCCTTTCCAGGGAACGTGGTAGCAATTTGAAAGGGGAAGAAAATCCTCCCGTGCAATTAGAATAATCATCTGTCAGTCGGGACAATTAGTGGTCGGTCAAACGGTGTTTTCCACTTGTTCCGGCACCTCCAGGGAATCCGGCCGACATCTAATTGCCCCTCCGACACTTAGAGACGTCGCGAGGAGAAGCCGCTCTGGCCCGCGGACTTCTCTGCAGCGTCCACCCCGGGAAGGGCCCTTAATTGCCTCTGCAGATTGACGTTCTAATCTGTCCCAGAGATTGGGTGAGCCTGGAAGCCAGCTGCGGGTCGTGCCTGTGAGCGCTGCCGGGCCGCTCCTGCTGTTACAAGGGGCTCCGTGCGCTGAAAAGGGCCATGGACCCAAGCGGGAGCCTCAATACTGAAGACATCAAGGTGGCCTGGGAAGGGGTGCCCTTCAGTGCGCAGCGCTGGGGTGCGGCCGACCAGAAGGGGTCCCAGGGGTTGAGCAGTCGGCAGCAGCCCTGGTTGATATCAGTGGGTTTCCGCCTGCCTGTCATGCAATGTGACAAGCCCTTACGTGAGTCACACATTTCACTCAGCCCTCCCGAAGGTACCGTGAGGGTAGGTGCCAGTATTGTCCCCATTCTGTGGATGAGGCAACCGAGGCGCAGTGAGGTTAGGGAACTGGCCCCAAGTCACACAGCAGGTAAATGGGGAGCTGGGACTTGACCCCAGACACTTTGCTCCAGAAGCAGAACTCATTGTGCTGCCATTAGTATATAGCATAGAACGCAGAATAACATAGACTATCGTTAACATAATTCCGCCGCTGGCAGCCTCTGCCTTTCCTCTCAGAGGGACCCGTTTCTTCCCTTCCAGCAGCGACATCTCCCCCATCAACCCTTTTGCTTCTGCTTGGTGGCTCTTCGGGGCTCTCAGTACAACAGGCACAGAGTCCAGACACTGTAGGACGAAGGAAGGGAATGACCAGCACAAGTGAGAGCCCAGGCCGCCTGGTGTCACCGTCCACAGACGCACCGCGAAACGCAGGTGGACAGAGATGCGCTCTCCCTGTAGTTCTGGCCACGTTCCCTTCCTTCCGCCTGCCTGCGTTGGGGCATAACCTGGAAGTCTCTCAGTTCCCCGGGGGCTACAGATGGGAGACATCGGTCCTTAAGATTCTGCATGGCCGCTGCCCAGCCACACCGTGGCTTCTAACGGCCTTGATTTGTTTAGTTCGGCCCTTGTTTTGATAATGCTAATAACATTTCAATAATACGGACCTGTGTGTTTGTCTGTCTGGTTTTCATTCTGCTGATTTTCTCCTCTCCTTCCTTCCTTCCTTCCTGCTTTCCTTCTTTCTGCGAAGCAAACCCCAATCGAATGTTTATATTGAACGATGCCAGTCTCCATTGCTAGGTCCCGGTGCTACGCCGCGTGCCAGAAAATCCTGGTCTCTGCTCTCCTGGGGTTCACAGTTTGCTAAAAGTTTCATGTGCACTAAAGAGGAGAGGGAGGAAATGGGAGAGTTCTATGAATTTCCTCTGAAACCAGTAAAAAGGCAAGTGACTGAGGTGCAGATGCAAAGAATTCTGAGGTGGAGGGAGTGTAGTGGAAGAGGCTTGTTGGCCTTTTTGTTGGAACTGAACCATCATCTTAATTTATCAGGCACTTTTTATTTATTTATAGAGCGCTTTGTTGCCATTCTCTTGTTTTGGTCTCACAACATTAAATGAGAGCATTCAATGGGATGCAGAGTGGACACTCAGAGAGGTTAAGCAACTTGCCTAAGGTCACACAGCCTTGGAGTGGTCATCGCCTGGCAGGAGGCGAGTGGGATCTTGAAGATGAGGAAAGGATTTTGAAACAGGTCATGGGAGATACATTGTGGAGTTAAAACATGCATTTTTTCCCGCTCGTTTGAATTAATCTCCTTGTGCTTGGTGATGTGGGAGGCAAGAGAGCAGGACTCCAGTGATCCACCGGCATTTCCCGCCATCTGCTCCAGCCGGTGTATGTTTTGGAGTGAGTCTGCAGAGCTGGGCATGTAGCATTTCTGTAGCTGGCCTCAGTTTCCCCGGCTTCTCACTGCAGTCTGATTCTAATGTAAACATGGAATTAAACGCAAGCCATTTCCTTCTGGTGCTCAACTCAAGAAACGGCCACCAAGAATAATCTTAATTATAGGACATTTTGCATCTGTGTTCCCTTTTGAATCTAACTCTTGTGTCTTGGTCACTGTGCTCTTATTAGTTGAAAGTGTAAACTATGATAAAGCTTGCCAGGGTAGGTGCTGGAGGTCCAGCACCAATCTGTAGAGGATGCAGTTGCTATGGCAACCCAGCGCCATGCTGCTAGGATGAGGAGTCACCAGGGCAGTGGTAGGGAAGTGGGGTGGGGAGGCTTTGTCGAAAAGGTGGCCTGGATGTGACAGAGCCCAGGTGTTCTCGCCCAGTTCTTCTGAGACCGTCAATGATGAGGGGCCAGTTGGTTGGGTTTCCCTAACCCTTCTACCTAAATCTGCAGCAGATGGATCAGTGCCCTGCTGTGTGTGAGCAGTGTGCCAATGATGCCACGGGTACCTTGTGATATGAGTTTGCTAATGCCCGGCCGATCTGTCCCCTGTTCACTGGGGCTTGTCCTGTGACTGCACGATCGGGCGTCACAGCAGTCTAATCGCCTGAAATATTTCTGAACGCTTGCTCTCCGGGATTCAGCATTTCTCTTGTTGCCAGCCAGGGATGGCAGGGTCACCGTGAGGTCTGACCCCGGGACCACCGTCTTGTGCGGAATTGGGAAGAACTTCACGAAACGCCAACCATGATGGCCTGGCTCCATGGAGGAACCGGCTGGGGGCCGGCTGGCAGGCCGGAGAGGAGCCCGTGGTCTGCAGGCTGCAGAGGGCGAGAGGGACAAGGACAACAGAGCGAGGAGGGGCAGCAGCGACAGCACAGGAGGCGGGCGGGGGTCAGAGGGCTGGGCTGGAGAGGCTGGGGTCACACGAGGAGCGTGGACCCAGCACCACCAGATCTCCCAGTTTTCCAGGAGAAGCTGGAAATCTCAACTGTTTTAATGAAAGCCACTGACTTTAAAAGTTCCCAATGCATCCAGCACCTTTAAAGTGCTGCGCAGACCAAACCAGCGCACCTCGCACCTCGCCCCTCACCCCCTGCAGGCAGCCAGCCTGTGCTTTCTCTGCGGGGTGAGGCCGGGTTCCCATCTCCTGGTGACAGTTTTGGTTTTGAGCACAGGGAGACGTTGGGGAGAAGGCCGTTGTCAGCAGCGTTAAAGGCGTTGAGGTGGGCTGGTGCCAGTGGGGCGACCCTCCCTTTGGGAGCCCTCATTTGAAACACAGGTTCAGAAGAGGTAGGAGACAGGAGAGAGTTGTGAATTTCCTGGGAGGCCTCTCGAACCATGGGCATCGGTGGGCACTGAGACCAAGAATGCAGCAAGTGAGTTTAGTCACGGCTCGGCTCCCGCATCCCACCACCTGCTGTGGCCATGGGCCTGGGTGCCTCGAGCGGAGCCGCCCTGGCCTGCGAGCGACCAGCGAGCTCCCTGGCCGGCTATCTGCCGGGTGCGTTAAACATTCAACTCCAGGGACTTCGTGCCTCCTCCCGGGGCTCTTTGTCCAGGACACACAGACCCAGCCCTTCATCGGGGCGACCGAGACGGGGCTTGTGTGCCTGGGGGTTTTGTATCTTCCTCTGCCAGAGCTGCTCGGAGGAGAGGAGGTGAGGTGCTTGCGTTTTCCAGCAGAGACTAGATTGCTGGTACTCGTGGGGTCTGCCCCAAGAGCCTGGCAGGGACGGCTCCTCCGCGTGTTTAGAGTTTCAGCTCAGACGTCCTCAACCAGAGACAGCTCCTCCGACACCCCGCAGCCTGCCCCGCTTCCCGGGCCTCCTCTCCCACCTCGTCTCTTCTGCTTGTGCCCACCATGGCCCCTAGCACTCCCACGGTTACCGTGTTTCTTGCTTCTGATTGTCTTCCTTCCTCGCACACGGGGAAAAGGGAAATAAAGGTACATTTCTGATAGATTATTGTCAATTTCCCCCCCAAAATAGGTGGTTCTAGTTTATACTCCCGCCAACAGTGTGTACGACAGGGTCTATCCCCCCACCTCTTGGCTGACACTGCATCTCAGTCTTTGGAATTTTCTTTGCTATGACAGGGATAAAAATGGTTTGTTTTGCATTTCTTTCATCAGTCACCAGGCTGTATTGTGCCAGGGCGTGGGTGGGGGCGTTCTCAGGAAAGAATTGTCTCCTGGACAGGCACCCACACACATGCTAGTCAGACACAGGATCTGAGCGGCATCAGGCTCAGCGGCAAGAATGCGCTGTAGGGAGAAGGGTGGCATGTCCGTAAGTTTCCATAACAGTTGATGGGGATAACAGTGTTCTGGGCACAACTAACTAGGCCTGTGCGGCCATTGAACACTTGCAGTGTGGCCAGTGAAAATGGGGAGCTGTATTTGATTTCATTTTAATTGAATTTAAGTTGCCGCACATGGCTGGCCGCTACCTTACAGGTCAGTGTGGCCACATGTCGTGGGTTGGCCCGGCGTGAACACGCGGACGTTCTCCCGGTGCGGGGGTGGGACTGAGAAGCCGTTCTGTCAGGCGGTGCGGGCTTGAAACCTGCTGGTCTGTACTCACAGTTCTCTGTGTTGTGCTTTCTTGGTTTAGGAACTGTGGTGGGTGTTGTTCTTTACACGGGCAGAGAACTCCGGAGCGTCATGAATACCTCGAACCCTCGAAGTAAGGTGCGTCCGTGGTCGCGGGGCATGTCTGCTTGTCCCACCTTTCGATCTGATGTACTGTGATGACTAGTGTTGGGGGTGAGGAGCCAGATTTAAAAACTGAAACACCTAACAGTATTATGTCATTTATACAAACTTGCTATCTTTATATATATATATGTACTTATACATATATAGAAATACAGATATACACACATAGCACCTATAATACATAAGTAGGCATCCATATACACACACACACACACACACACACACACAAATACAAAAAATTAAAAACATTTATTTTCTTATAATTTTATTTTATTTTTTGAAATTAAAAGAATTTCACCAAAACATTTTATTCCCATTTTGAACACACAACATGTTAAAAGCTTTTACGTTAGAGCAAACTGTTGTTCGCCGTGTGTCACGCCGTGTCCTTCCCATGCATACTATCTATTCCTTGCACCAGCCTGAGAGCAGGTGCGTCCTGAGTGCATGGGGGCCGGGGGGAGGGCAGCCCCGGGCTCCCCGCTCCGCCGACCGCACGCAGCGTCAGGTCGCCGTCCGCCTCGTGGCTCTGTGATGGCTCCCTCACACTATGGCCCTCCCCCCGGCCCCGCCCCTCCTCCGATTTTTAAGGCAGAGTATTGCAGAATGATTTCCTTTTGACACGTGCTATGTTTCCCAAATTCCGGTCATTTTCACCCCACCAGGACAACTATAAATGTCATTTATTTGGTGTTTTTGCCCTATCTTAGGCCATGTTTTTGTGAAGTTAGAGATTTGTTGTGCTAGTGACCTTTAAAAAAAATACCCACTAAAATAAATATGTCATTATGAAACTAATAATGTTAATTAATGCAGCACCTGGAAATCAGGTGCCACTAGAGGAGTGGGCACCGAACTTTCTGGCACATCTGCCTCAGCGTGTGGGGCGATGTCAGGAGGGTAGGACCGAGCCGTTTTACAGGTCACCGTGCAGGGCAGCGACTGAGCAGGTACTCAGCCCCACCAAACACAGCAGTAGCCTGCTTACGTGTTTCCAAGTCTGAATCTCCTTAAGTCATTAAGGAAAACCAGAAAGTGGAATTCTTTGAGGCGCCTTGGATGTCTGTCATGGACTCCAGCCCATGGCGTCCAGTGTTCTCAACCAAACCTGCGGGGATCGATGGGTCCGCTGTCCCATCTGGGTGGAGGTGCTCAGGGGTGAAGGACCGCTCTCCAGGTGGGCTGTGGGTGGCACCTGCTAACCCCCAGCTCCCGTCTGCCCCTTGTCCCCCAGATTGGCCTGTTTGACCTGGAAGTGAACTGCCTCACGAAGATCCTCTTTGGCGCTCTGGTGGTGGTGTCTCTGGTCATGGTGGCCCTTCAGCACTTTGCCGGCCGTTGGTACCTACAGATCATCCGCTTCCTCCTCCTGTTTTCCAACATCATTCCCATCAGGTGAGCAGAGAACGAGCTTGTGTTTGGGTGCCGTGACAGCATCTTCTCCTTGCCAGCTGGTCCCTTTGCTTGAGTCATGACCAGGAACAGTCAGGGTTGGGAGTGTGAGCCACGCTTGTGGCTGTAGCATCGGAATAGCATGTGGCTTCACAGTCCATTGTTTCTTGAATGACTCTGCTCAAAAGATCTTGCCGTGCCTCACCCAAGGAGCCTTGCGTATATCCTATTAACTGGTTTGCTCTGGTTTTCTGACTGGTTTGTGTTCACCCAGGCTACGGGAGGGGTGCCAGTCAGAGTCCCTCTCGTCAGCCGGCTCCAAGAGGTTGGTAGTGGCTGTGGGGGAGTGTGTGTTGAGAAGGATTCTGAGCCCGAGACTGGGCTCAACAGGAAAGACTATTGTGATTGCTGAGCAATGGAAGCCGGGTGGCACATGCCAGTTGTTTGCCTCATTTGGAGGCTGGATAAATTATTTAAAAATGATATAAGTAACATATTATCATGAAAAAACCCCCGAAGATTCACAGTAGCAAAAGATTACAATAAATCAGTTAGGAAAGATGAAAAAAGTTGTGGAAATGGAGGGTGGTAATGGTTGCATAGCAGTGTGAAGGTACTGAATGCTCCTGAACTGTCCACTTTAAATAGTAAACTTTATGTTGTATTTATTTCACCACAATTTAAAATAATGAGCATAGCCCTGGCTGACATGGCCCAGTGGATTGAGCATTGTCCTGCATAGCCAAAGGTCACCTGTTCGATTCCCAGACAGGACACCTGCGTGGTTGTAGGCTTGGTCCCCAGTTGCGGTGCATGCAAGAGACAACTGATCGATGTTTCTCTTCCTTTCTTCCTCCCTGCCTACCCCTCTCTCTAAAATAAATAAATAAAATCTTAAAAAAAAAAAAAAAAAAGGGTGTAGCCCTGGCTGTGTGGCTCAGTTGGTTGGAGCGTTGTTCCATGCATCCAAGGGTTGCAGGTTTGATCCCTGGTCAGAGCACATACCTGGTTGTATGTTGGATCCCCAGTCGGGGAGCATGTGGGAGGCAACCGGTCAATGTTTCTCTCTCACATCAATGTTTCCCTGTCTCTCTCTCTCTCTCTAAAATCAATAAACTTATCCTTGGGTGAGGATTTTTAAAAAATGACTGTAGTATCAAAAATATATTAGCTCAGAGGACTAGTAATTAAAAAAAAAAAGGTAAGGCAAACAGCTGCCTTTTCAGAATTTTAAGTGACATTGGTCCATGGTAGAATAACTTCATGGAAATAATGATTTGCTTTCGTGTTATTAGATAGCAGTGCTGACTCACGTTGTGTCTGGGGATTCCACCCCGGCAGTGGCTTCTTTAGGGAGTGATTCCAGATGTCGTGGCACAAATGATGCGTAGTTAGAGTCCTTGTTGTTTACAAAAGAGACATGAGGAGCCTTGCGTGTATCCTATCAACCGGTTTCCTCTGGTTTTCTGACCAGTTTGCGTGTGAACCTGGACATGGGCAAGATCGTGTACAGCTGGGTGATTCGAAGGGATTCAAAGATCCCCGGGACTGTGGTTCGTTCCAGCACCATCCCTGAGCAGCTGGGGAGGATTTCCTATTTACTCACAGACAAGACAGGTGAGCTTCCTGCCCTGCCCCTCCCCCTCCCCAGGAGTCAACGCAAGAGGAGGTGCTGGGATCCTCTTTCTAGAGATGACGGTAATAGAAGCAAAGCTTTACGTACTAATCCTGCTTTTGTGCAAAGCACTGTTCTGGGGTCTTTATTTGTCATTACTTAGTTATTCCTCGTCCTAACCTGGTATTTTTACAAGTGAAGAAAAGAAACAAAAATTGATTTGTTAGAAACAGGCTTTGAACTCAGGCAGATTGGCTTCAAGTCCTGAGGAGTGAGGAGGCCTGAGTTTAAGCTTTATCTCTACCATTTCGTGTCCACAGGATAAAAAGGAATCTATTGCAGAGATCTGGAGTGGCTCACCAAATGGGAGAAAAACTGGGTTTCAGGAAGGAGAGAAATCCGGAAATCTCCGAATGTGTCCGCATCAGGACCCCTGGGTGGTCTCTGTAGGGTCCAGGTCTCTGTCTGTTCAAGGCTCAGGTTCCTTCAAGGCAGAATCTGATTGGACTAGTGTATGTCACGTGCCACCCTCTTGGCCAATGGAATGAGTTGGGCACCCTGATTGACACTCTCTGTGGGCCATCCCAGGAAACGAGGGTGGTAATTTCCCCATGGAAACCTAGAATGCCATTTTCAAAAGACAGGGAATTAGATTCCGGGCCAACAAAACCCCAGAGCAGAAGCAGGGGCAGTGCTAAAACCAGTGTGCGACTGTATAGGAAATGCTCAAAAAGGAAAAATTAAAGAAAAAAACAAACCCTCAGTCATGAGACTGAAAGCTCCAGGATGCAGGGACAGTTACGCGTTTGTCTTGTGTTTCAGGGACGCTGACCCAGAATGAGATGGTTTTCAAGCGGCTCCACCTGGGCACCGTGGCCTATGGCCTGGACTCCATGGACGAAGTGCAGAGCCACATATTCAGCATTTACACCCAGGTACCACCTTCTGCTCCGCCGCCCACCCCAGTGCTTCGTGTTCCTGAACACCTGCATTGAGAGGCGGTCCTCGTGCCATGGGACTCCCCCTCGTACTGCCCGCTCCCTCGTGGGGACTGACTTCTGTCCCGAGCACTCCCTCGGTGGCTTGCCATGCTCATCGGCTCCGGGCTGAGCGCCCTTCGGCCCCCTTCCCAGCAGCGCTGGCCTGCCGCCGGCCGCGTCACACAGCCACCCCGTCGCGGGCCGCCCGCCCCCGGCAGGAGCCACAGCTTTGCCCGTTTGGCAAATGGCGATGGCACTTTTAAGCGCTTGTGGTATTGACAGAAGCCATTCCTTCTCAGGGCATTGGTGGTGTGCAGCTTTTATGGAACTTTTTGGGTTCAGCACAGATAACACTCTTCGTAAAGTGTTAAGAGGCAGGTGACGGCATTGCTCACCGGTGAACTTGAACTCTGAACCCTTCCTTAGTGAAGCTCGTAAGCGGACTTGCCCATCGGGACCCTGGGTTTAAAACAGCTCAGTACCATGGGGTTCGGTTATGTCGAGGTTGGCGTGAGCTCAGAAGCATAGCACCCCCTCCCCCCACCGTGTATCCTTCTCCCATGGCACCTGAAAAGCCGGCAGGAAACGCGTGAATGAATACTTTCATGATGAGAGGCGTGAAGGCTCCCCTGTGGGTTGTGTTTTTTTACACCTGTAGTGAGGTATAATGTACATACTATAAAAATCATCTATTTTTAGTGTACAATTCAATCCCTTTTTTAGTAAATTAAAGAGTAACAGTACCATCAGCACAATTCGATGTCAGGGCATACTCGCCACCCCAAAAGACCCCCTTGCATCCATCAAATCGCCATTCACCTGACCTTTAGAATTTATCACCAGGATTTTATAACCGTGTTCTGTAAAGTATGGTATTTGGCCCTCTGGGGTCAGATCACTGGGGATGGTCAGAATCCCTAGACCCGATTTCAGCAGGTGAGCCGGGGGTTCCAAAGTGCAACAGTTTGGGAACGTCTGCCAGGAACCTGAGGTTCGCCCCCATTTTTTCAGAAGAGCAGTGTCTAAACCTGTGGACCCCCGAATTTACACTTTATCTTCATCTTCAAAATTAAAGCAGCGTGTAAAACTTACTTATCATATTGAGGCTGACCCAGGGCCCTCGCTCCATGTATCAGACCAGCATCTGTCAGCTGCGGTCCCTGAGGTGTCCCGCGGAAGGAGTCGGAATTCTGCGATGGGCTTTTCCAGAACATTGACATGCACCCTGCCCTTTAGGAGAGTCCAGGGGACTGGTTGGAGGGATGTTATTTAACTGAAGTAACCTCATAAAGAAGGCAGGTGGTTTTAAAAGATTCCGGCAGGAAAGGTTCAGGTTATTAATACAAGCCCAAGTAAACCACAGGAAAATGGCCAAGACCTTATGAGAGAAAACTGGGGCAGGCTGAGGCGATGTGATTTTTTCCTCTGGCTTATTGCTTTATGGCTACTTTTAAAATGCAATTGAGATATAATTCTCAAACCATAAAATTTACCCTTTTAAAGTGTATAATCCTTAGTGTTGTTCAGTCTATCCTCAACGTTGTACTTCCATCGCTGTTAGTACTTTCCAAATATTTCCCTCACCCCCAAAAGAATCCCCGCCCCTACTCCTTAGTCCTGCAGCCCCTGCCAAACGTCCAGCTACGTTCAGTCTGCGTGGGGTTGCCTGTGCAGGACATTGCATGTAAATGAGGTCGCACAATATCTTTTGCAGCTGGCTTATTTCACGTAGCATAATGGCTTCAGAGTTCCTCCAGGGGGTAGCACGTGTCAGAACTCCATTCCCCTTTATAATTGAATAACAGGCATGACAATCTGAAGTATAATTTTAAATCTATTATAATTCCCAGTGTCTCTTTTCCCTGACTATATGTTTGGTTTTTTTTTTTTGAGATATCAGCTAATACTGGGAAAAATGCTGTTTTTTATTTTTATCATATCTTTCTAGAATTTCATCTTCTTACTGTTTTATAATACAAAATACAATATTTATGCAAAGTTAAACATACATTTATGGAGGGTAATCAAATATTTTTTTCCCCAATGTTGTTACATGATCGACATATTTTGAGAAAGCTGGTCTATAGTACCTGGAATACGTAGTCATCTATTTTATTTTATTCACCCCAGCAAGTGAAAATATCTTTAGCTCTTGTTAATATGTGTCTCTACAGAAGACCCAGGCCAGTGTTTTTGTGTGCTGTTCGAGGCTATTTTGTACTCATAAATTCATATATTTAAAAAATCATAATTGATATTATTCCACACATTTTGATCTGCGAACTGTCATTTTTCACTTAATATTTTGTCTCTGGTACTATTTTAGGGCTGCTGCTAGAATTGAAACCTACTGAGCTCTTTTCCCTGTTCCTCTTTAATGAGCATGTTGGTGAATGGGTGTGTTTCTGGTTTCTTTTCTGCACGCGATGCCTTCAAGTTGCCAGTACTTATTTCCTGTGTCCCAGTGTTTCTTTCGCTTTCTGCCTCCATCGGAGACATCGATTTTTTTTTTATCTGTGTGTTTTCTTCTGGGACACAGCTTGCTTTGTTTTTTGACTCATTTAAAGAATTTCTCCTATTTCTTTATGATGCATTTGTTTTATAAAAGAAATAGGATAGATAAGTAAAAAGAAAGAAAAGAAATAAGATAGCTAGGTAAAGAGAAAAAGCATTAAAATCACCTGTATGAACATCACTCAAAATAACGCATGTTAACACCTGGCTGTTTAAAATGCCAAACTGTCTCTCTGCCTTGGTGAGTCTGGAGAGATGTGTGCCTTTGTTTCTTGAGTGTGTGTTTATTTTTTTTAATCCTCACCTGAGGATGTGTTTATTGATTTTAGAGAGAGAGGAGGGGGAGGGAGAGAGAGAGAAACATCAATCGGTTGTTTCTGGTACACATCCCGACCGGGGACTGAACCTGTAACCTTTTGCGGCACAAGACGACGCTTCAGCCAACGGGGCCCCCAGCCAGGGCTGTGTGTCTTTTTTTTCTTCACAACAAGAAGGCATCATATTTTTGTAATTCTTCGAGTTGAACTGGACCTTCTTGCATTTTTGAGGTGTGGGGGGACCAAGCACCTATATTTCTTAGAATTCTTAAAATATTTATTGGCTACTTTGAGAAGCATTTCTGGTTAAGAACCACTGTTAGAATAACACTGTCCACCTTCCTTTTTTCATTCCTGTCGACGCTTCTGACCATTTTTAATGGTTTTATAACAGGGCCAGGACTGACTAGAATAAGAACAGTGGGGTATCCATGGTAAGGGCAAAATTTAATGGGATGACCCCCCCCCCAAAAATGCAGTAACCAAAATAAATCATAGTGTCATGCAACATTTTAAAAACTCAAAATTCACGCAAAAACCCACGATGAACACAATACTGACATTTTAAATTGACAGGATCCAACCGGTGCAGCTGGGCCTCTCCCACTTCCTGGCCCTGGTTTTGCAGCGTCCGTGACTCTATATCATGGTTTGGAGCCCTGGCAGATGACGTATGGGGCTGGATAATTCTTTGTTGTGAGGGCTGTCCTGTGCATTCTAGGATTTTTTTAAAAAGGAGTTTGTTTATTTTTAGAGAGAGGGAAAAGAAGAGGGAAAGAGGGGAGAGAGAGATTGATGTGCGAGATAATCTGTTGCAATCGGTTGCCTCTCTCACGCCCCCAGCTGGGACCTGGCCCACATCCCAGGCATGAGCCCTGACCGGGAATTGAACCAGTGGCCTTCTAGTTTGCAGGAGGATGCTCAACCCACTGAGCCACAGTAGTCCAGGCCATTCCAGGGTTTTAACAGCATCCTTGCCCTCCACCCTCTAGTGCCTGTAGCAACTTCCACCGTCAGTGGGGGGCAGAGTCACCCAAGGTGAGAACCCCTGTGTTATCTGGCGTTCAGTTTCAAGGAATTGAAATTTGTTGCCTTTGTCATTCTCTAAGTATCTACTGTTCAATAGTGAGTGTTATATTTAGTCAGTCACTTCAATGGCCGGTAACTCAGTTAATTCATTTGGAAGCAGCAGCTTGAGCCTGTCTGCCCCTTTGAGGTTAATGAGTTAGCAGCTTTGAGCTTTTGGGCAGGGGGGGTGAAATGGGACTTTTAAAGTAGTAATTCCTGCCCTGGCTGGTGTGGCTCAGCAGATTGAGTGCCGGCCTGGGAACCAAAGGGTCATGGGTTTGATTCCCATTCTAGGGCACAAGCCTGGGTTGCAGGCCAGGTTCCCAGCAGGGGGCACGCGAGAGGCAACCACACATTGATATATCTCTCCCTCTCTTTCTTCCTCCCTCCCCCCCCCTCTAAAAATAAATAAAATCTTTGAAAGAACAGGGATTCCTTCTGTTCAGTAGTGTGTTTATGCCAACTGCAACCCATCTAAAATATCCATTAATACTATGAACATCCGTGAAGTAGTGGTATAGTTTTAATTGCATTTAGAAAGAAAATTGATCTTTGTGGTGATTCAGTATTTAATTTTTGTATTGATCTGTCCTGTTATACAAAATGGAGTTCTTGTCGGGAAAGGCTCCTGCCCTGGGTCTTTAATGAGAAGCGGGGGCCTGTTTTCCACTGGTTCTCTGGGTCTCATTGGTCGGCTGGGATGCCGTGAAATGACTCAGAAGCGTTAGATGGTGTGACATCCCCACCCATGGACCCACGTCAGGGGCCTTTGTACATGGAGGACTTGATTCCTGTCTTCACTCCTGACCTCGTGTGGAGCTCTGCCTCCCTCTCCCCTGCCAAGGGGGCCGGTGGTTTTCTTTCTCCCCAGGGCAGAAGGACTCGTAACCTGCCTCTGTGGGCGCCACATCTGTTTTGATTTTCCCCTGGTATTTTTTAAGTAAGAAGAAATGTGTGTAGGTTAAAGGGCCTATGGGCAGGAGGCTAGAGATAAACACTGTACAATGTGAAACTCTTCCATATGGGGAATGCGCGGATGTTTGAAGACGGGGCCCTACTGCTAATACTGGCAGCGCCCCTGGTAATTACCAGGGCCTTAATGATACACGTGGAGCACCGTTCGGTGTGCGAATGAGCCTTTTACTTGGCAATTAAAAGAGAATTTCAGAGTCCGTGGTTATGACCCCTCCTACCCAAAGCACCTTAGTGGGAAAGGGGATACGTGCTAATTTAAGAGAGAAATAAATGAACCTGGGGACGTTAAACCAGTCGCCTGGGGGTCAGAGCCAGTCACCCCCATCTTCTGATGGGTTGTCAAATGGTCCCCTGATCTAGAAGGGAGGTCCTTGCAAAAATGGGGGCTCTCTGTGCTAGCCCACATTTGAAATATTAGTGGGAGTGTTTGTCTTCCGTAGACATGAAATCAGATCGCTCATAAAACCCAAAGGCTGGCGAAGGGCACTCTTCACTCAGCCCTTCCCTGAAACCCACTGTTACTAAAACTTGCCAGCCAGAGCAATTACTTCGTCAAAGGCCTTGTTACTGCCCCTTGTGTTAAGTCATAATTTGCTCCAGGTGCGGAGGGATGCGGGCCAAAATGAAGACGCGCGTCCACGCCTAGAACGTACTTTACAGAACTTAGGAAAAAGCGTTCTTGATCCAGTCTCCCTGGCAGAGAGAACCTTTCTGTGCATCTGCGGTCCTCTTTATAACGTGGGAGTTAAATTCTTTATAATCAAAAGCACTTGGCAAATAACGATTCGTTTAAACTGTAGTTCTGATTCATTACTCTAATTATTGTTACCATGCAGTGCCCTTTGGCCTGGAAGTGAAACTCGTGTCCTCTTGACACCAGAGGTTAACAGAGCAGGAAGCCAGAGCGGTGTGTGTGCCTGCGTGACAAGAATAATTTAGTAATTGTCTAATTACCCGAGGAGTCGAATGCCCCTGCTAAAAATAGTATTAAAAAATTAAACGAAAGTCATTTTCTTGTTTCCCGTAACCCATCTGTTCTCTATTTTGGGGAACCATGTGTTCGTGGGTCAAAAACACGATTGATTCTCAAAGATCAGATCGCTTCTCCTCCGTTGGATAAAATATGTTTTTAATGGAACATCGCACCCAGTATGTCCACAAATGTCTTGAGCTCCTGGACTCAGCGGTGGAGGCAGGGAGACTACCGCGGTCCTTTGTCCAAAACTGTGATTTAAAATCTGGAACTGATGTTGGTCCATCTGATACGTATTTCTTCCTGGGAATGGGAGGAAAACATCGTGTCAAGTTAGGACCCCCACCGTCACCTTGTTTATTTACTAGGGATGCAGCAGCCAGGCTATCTGTTCTCCTGGTCTAACAGGACAGGCATTAGGTAGACAAGCCAGTTTTCAACAGTGAGGACAATAACCCACAGGAAGCATGACTTCCAATGGGCAGGGCAAGGGGGGTAACAGGAATTAGGGGGCTCAGAGAAGCCCTCTTTCAGGAGGGGGCATTTGAATTTAGACCTCCTTGATGAGGTACGGGGAGCCAGCCCCACAGAGATCTGGGAAATGGTGTTCCAGGCAGAGGGCACGGCAAGGGCAAAGGCCCTGTGGCCGGAAGCAGCACGGCTGTGTTCAAAGACCAGAAGGGGTCAGCGTGGCTGGAGCAGAGTGAGTAAGGAGGACGATGCTATAAAAGGAGGTTGCAGGGGTCGGGGGGTGCTGAGCGGAATGGCCCTGTGGACACGAGAAGGCATCTGAGTTTGAACACTGACCCATAAAACTGTTAACAAGTGGTCATTTTTCTGTGGTCTTAACTTTTTTTATTATATTTTAAGGCAACAGAAGCCATTCTTCTTCTTTTAAGATTTTATTTATTTTGAGAGGGGGAGGAAGGGAGGGAAACATGGATGTGCGAGAGAAACATCCCTCGGTTACCTCTCACATGCCCCCTCTAGGGGACCTGCCCTGCAACCCAGGCATGTGTCCTGACCGGGAATCGAACCTGTGATCTTTTGATTTGTGAGACGATGCCCAACCCACAAGGCTTAACCCACTGGTGAGGGCAAGCCACACCAGTCAGAGCAGAGACCCTTTTCCAAAGGGAAGCCTTCATGGCACCCAATGGGTAACATAGATAGGAGCAGGCTGCTTGCCTTCCACGTTGAGGATGCCAAGTGGGGGTGTCTGGGAATTCCTGCTACTCCGTGGGGAGCCTGGGTTGAACCCCACCCCCGAGCCTGCTTCTCTCATCTGCAGAAAACTGAGGCCCGGGGAGCAGATGTGATTGCTCACAGCCCATCCGAAAATAAAGCTCAGATTTGTTAACCTTCAATGCTGTTCTTACCATGTTGCTTGACGCCATTTTCCCCAAGCCTTCACCCATTAAGGGGGCTGAGCCATGTGTTGAAAGGTACGAACAAGGGGACGGTGAAGGCTGTGTTAGCAGCGGAACGGCTGCTTAGACGGGCGAAGGGTCTGCGGTCAGCGGAGAAAGCAAATATTGAGCGTGTATAGAAGTACTCTTTAAAAAAATTACTCTTGAAACCTGCTTTAAGTGCAGTGCTCGGTACCATTTTGCAGAGTGTTCATCTAGGCAGGTGTCATTCCTGTTGTCCCTGGCCCTGCGCCTGCCCCTGCCCCGAGTTCCGTGTTTCTGCTGGCCATTATTCCTGTGGAGCTCCGGTCAAAGTTGTCGTCTTTTATTGGAAACCGAGGAGTGTTTCAAACAGTGATTCTAAACTGGGGTGGTTTTGGTCGCCCTGGGACGGCTGGCAACCTGTGTTGATGCACTCGGGGAAGAGAGGTGCTTCTGGAATCCGGGAGGCGAGGCCAGAGATGTGGCGAACATCCTCCCACGCACGGGACTGTGCCACACAGAGTGTCTGCCCCGACTGCCGGGGCTGAGAAGCTCTGGCCTGAACCACCGGGGTCGCTTGCAGTGTGGCGGGCGCCTCCCCGGGGGACGCCCCTCAGGGCCACCCAAGGGAGACAGAGTCACATGGTAACAGAATCACCCACATTCACTACATGGTAATTATTTTTCTCTTAACTTTGCCTGCGTTTTTTTTTTCCGCACGCAGAAATGATCGGATCCCTGACAATTCACGCCATTTAGCGCAGTGTCTCTGTAATGTACCTGCGAGGCCCGTAGTGCGGAGAGCAGACCCCCGTGTGACTGTCCTTCCACACTCAGCCGCTTCCGTGCCTCTGGTCACCTTCTTTGTTTGTGTCTCCTCCTCATAGCAGTCCCAGGACCCGCCGGCTCAGAAGGGCCCCACGATCACCACCAAAGTCCGGCGGACCATGAGCAGCCGCGTGCACGAAGCCGTGAAGGCCATCGCGCTCTGCCACAACGTGACCCCTGTGTATGAGTCCAATGGCGTGACCGACCAGGCTGAGGCCGAGAAGCAGTACGAAGACTCGTGCCGTGTGTACCAGGCGTCCAGCCCAGACGAGGTAAACCCTGGGCAGATGCGGTGATGCACACACAGACGCCCTGCCCGACTCCCACGGACCCCCGGGTGTGGCTCCCGGGGGGTTCCCCTGGCAGGGCAGACAGAGGCGCCAGGGAGCGGCAGGAGCCCTGGGCAAGAACATTCCCCAAAGCGTGCGGGAGTTGTCTTTCCTGGGAGGAACAGTCATGGACTTGAGAGCTGTGTCCTGAATGAGGGAAGCGCTCGAGGTCTCGTTCATAGCTCAGGTGGCCAGCGTATATGGGACACGAGGTCCCACTGCAGCCACATCCCCTCTAAAAAACCCCAGCAGTGTTAAGATAAAATTCACATACCATACAGCCACCCATTCGACATGCATAGGTCGGTGGTTTTTAAAGTACAGTCGCAGAGTTGCGCCGTTGCGACCACACTCAATTTTGGAACATTTCCATCACCCCAAAAGGAAGCACTCCATGCCCATTTTCCCCCCAGACCCCTCCTTCCCCCAGCTCCTGGCAACCACACCTACTTCCTATCTGTGCAGAATTGCCTTTTCTGGACATTTTGTACAAATGGAAACATATGTTACGTGACCTTTTGTGTCTGGCTTCTTCGTGTTGTAGCATGGGTTGGAACTTCATGACATTTTATGGGTGAAAGATACTCCGCTGTATGGAAAACACTACGTTTCGTTTATCCATTCATTGGCCGATGGATCTTTGGACTGTATTTTTGTCTGTCTGTTTGCTGTAATGGGTGATGCCACTATGAACATGTGTGTACAAGTGTTTGACAGGACGTTTGTTTCATCTCTCGGTGTATATCTAGGAATGGAATTGCTGGGTCTCATGGTAACTCTATGTTTCACCTTTTGAGGAACTGCCAGACTGTATCCTAAAGTGGCCACACTGCTTGGGCCAGTCAGGCTCAGCTGGTTGGAGCATTGTCCTGTAACTGAAAGGTCATGGGTTCGATTCCCAGTTGGGGCACATACCTAGGTTGTGGGTCTGGTCCCCCATGAAGGCAACCGGTTGGTGTTTCTGCCTCATGTTGATGTTCCTCTCGCTCCCTTCCTCTCTAAAAGCAATGAAAAAGTGTCCTCAGGTGAGGATTAATAATAATAACCACAAAGCGGCCGCCCCATTTTACGTTCCCATCAGCAGGGTCCGAGGGTTCCGGTTTCTCCGCATGTCAGCCCACACCTGTCATTGCAGGTCCTCTGGAGTCTAGCTGTCCTGGCGGGCGTGAAGGGGGGTCTCACTGTGGTTGTGACTTGCGTTTCCCCGCTGACTAAGAACGTTGACCATCTTTCCACACCCTTGCTGGCTATGTGTGCATCTTTGGAGAAACGCAAACCTGTGTCTATAGACACACCACGTGATGGGGAGCAGGTGAAGAAAACTCCGTGACTGTGAAGTTGGTTGGAGAAATTATGCTGTTCCCGGGTCCCTGTGGGATTCCGCATAGACGGGGCTGCGTCTAGAATCCTAACTTTGAAATTCTATATCAATAAAAATAAAACATCGCTGGTCAAGGCAAGGTCAGTTTATGGAACAGAGAGAGGAGCTGGGGTTCGTTTTACGTCGGAGCGGCCGGAGTAATTTCTGCCAGTCGGGGTGGTGGTCATTTCCTGTAACAGAAAGCAGGATTTCCTAAATTTGTTTCCTGTGCACATGCCACTTTGGAAGGCTTGAAGGGTCTTTATTCAGCTATTGATTACAGCCCGAGGGGCCCTCCGTACAGTAGCTCCCAGAGGAGGGGAAAGAGATCTAATCGAGCAGGCCGGTTTCAGTCCCGATGATGGTCTGTCATTTCCAGGATATGGGGAGCAGTGGGGGGGGGGTGGGTAGGGACGGGAGGGATCGTGGCCGCGACGCAGCTTTCCATGTGTCTGTTTCTTGGTGTGAGTGGTCCAGGAGGTGCAGCCCTATGACTCATTTGTTTGCCTTTTCCATGAATCCTGTCATATTAAAAAAAATTCTTAAACTTTTAAAATCAAAAGTACTAACGTTCTCCCTAGAAAAAGTAGACATTGTAGATCCAAAAAGAAGTTGATAAACGTAACCTGTGATTCTTACCACCTACTGATAATGACTATTTATGTTCTGGTATAGGTTTTTCTCAGAGTTTTCCTAAATTTATGCGCATGCACAGAAACATAATTTTATGTTTCTGTAATGCAGAATCGTACTAACCAGGAAGGAAGGCGAAGTGGGTTAAGGAACCTCCTTTAGAAAGTTATATGGTTTTCATGGTCTGGTAGGATTTCTGTGAGTGTGCATGTGCATGTATGTCATGTATATGTGTTTATATGTATAGTGCACACACATGTGTGGGTGTGTTGTGTATGTGAGCGTGCACACATGTGTACCACATGAGCGTGTGAGGGTGTCCATGGGTGTTTGTATATGGGTGTGCAGAGTTGTCAGAGGGTCAATGAACGTTTCTTGATGTAACTGGCTATGCCTTGACTAGCTCAGTAATTTCAGGGACACTAATTGCAAAGTCTCCATAATATCTAGAATGTTCTGTGTAGCTACCCCACTCGTGGTGCAGAGGGAGATGTCGGGTCTGTCTCTCTCCCACCCTGAGACCTCCATTCTCGAAGTCTCTCCATGTAGGTCCTCCTCTCCCAATTTCTTCCTCCGAGCCGCCCACTGTTGCCAATACTTGAGCACCCTGGGAGAGAACATTCTTTGTATGTATGAGCATCTCCCTTATAATGTGCGTGCGTGCGTGCGTGCGTGCGTGTGTGTGTACTTATTTATTTATTTATTTGATATTTGGTCCCTTCCCTCTTTTCTCATCGTGGGAAGCTTCCAGGCTCGTTGATAACAAATCTTCTACGGGACCCGGAAGCCTCCCTGCTGAGGGTCTTGCCTTCGCCATCCACCTCCGTAGGATCTGCCCTTATGAAGGAAATCAAAGCGCGTGCTTCTCTGGTCCACAGTAACCCAGACACAGCCCCCCTGCCGTGGCCATGTGAGCAGGCATGGCGCTGGGGAGAGAGGCTCCCTCCTGACGTCAGGGGCTACCGTGGCAAGCGTTACAGGGTTCGTTTGAAATATCCAAGTGTTGGAAGTAGCGCCAACAGGGGCGACAGAGGACAGTGAGAATACAGCTTACCTGGAAGTAGATTTTAGTTTGTTCCCTGCCCCCCCGCCCCAATTCTAAGAGCAGCATTGCTTGTTACAGAAAAAGTAAAAAATTAGAGGGAAAACATGCAAAACCACTCTGATGTGCTTCCTTCCTGTCTCTCTTCTGTACATATAACTTCCGTGTTTAGTGTCATTCCGCAAATTCCCTCTTGATTTGCTCTCCTAGTGGTAGATTGTACTATATCCCTTTCCCAGTAACCACCTGTGCTGGGAGGAGTTTTAGTGGCGGCCCCGTACTCCCCGCTTAGCTGCGCCACAGACTGTCTGTCCCCAAGCGCAGCCGCGGCTAGTCTCTCCACTTTGGCCGTCCTAAGTGATGTCCCGATGGCTAGCCCTGTGTATTCAGCCCCCCCCCCCCCCCCCCCATCTCTGAGCACGTATGGGAAGCGTCCCGGCCGTCTCGTCTCGCACTGTCTGCAGCCTGCAGCGGAGGGCAGGTGTGCGCGCGGCTTAGGGGTGGGCCGGCACCGCAGGTGGTTTGCAGCTGGGAGGGTTTTCCTTCCACAGCCACGTACACGTCTCGGGTGCGCGGGTCCCCTCAGTGCGTCCTCACGCCCTGAGCTTCGCCCAGGCCCCTGGACAATGACGGCAGTCAGATGTGCGGGCCAGGGAGCGCAGAGCGTTGGCGCAGAAAGATTTCGGTGGCCGGCGGCGGCAGCGGCGGGTGGGGGGGCGCTTTCCTGCTGCACTGCCGTGCCCTCCGACCCGAGGTGAGGTCAGAGCACAGAGGTCGGGACGTAAGGAAAAATTCCTCCATCAGTGTTATTGATTAACCACGGGGGTGGGATCTGGAAGCAGGGTTCTGGCTGCTCTGAAGCGGGGGCTGTGTAAGGCAGAACAGAGTGTTTCAGGGACACTGCAGAAAACTGTCAGGTGAGCCTCAGGCGTCGCTCACTCCTGGGCCACAGAAGTCTGTCCTGTCTACTAGTGCTGGCCCAGACTGGACTGAGGGAACAGTCATTTTGAAATGGCTGATTTCTCTGTTAATGGTGCCATTCCTCCTCCTCAAACATTAATCTTCGCCAGAGTTCGGTGACAGGGGCCTGAAGTTCAAAGATGGGACCAAGGGGGTCGGGAACACAAGAGGCCTGTATTCCACCCTCGGGCCCTCTGATTCTGCAACGCAGCAAGCTGTTTGGTGTGCTCCGTGCTGTGTTTCCAAAAAATAAAAATACCCCTGTGAGCTGGTCGGGCGCTGGCTCAGTTTACCCTTGACCCCTGCACGGCCTGCCCTTCTCCTGTCTGCCTCCTGCCCGAACCCGAAACCTCCCTGTGGTACGTCGTGGGCTCTGTTTCCCACTCAGGTAAAGAGCACCTTAGGCCTGGGGGCATTTACCGTCTCCAAAGGCTGGGTGTGGGTGGACTGGCCGCGCTTTGTGAGTGTGTTTACATTGTCGAGTGTGTTACACATGCCACCAAAGAACCCCTTCAGTCAGAGGTCGGACACATAAGGGCTCTCACGATAGGACGTATCCTGCTTTCGACAAGAATTCAAGGCTCTTTCTTTAGCCTGGCCTGCTGTGTTTCCCAAGCACACATTCCCAAGTCCAAAGGGAAAATCATTGAAACTTGTCCTGGGGGATTTATGGCTGGCCCCCAAGGTTGAGAAGGGCCGTTCAGGGACAGTTCTGGCACGGATTCTTCACATGGGCATTTAGGGAGGGATTTCCTGATGAACCTGAAACCTGTGGTGGACTCATGAGCTGAGACCAGCCCCCTCTGTCCCCTTTTTGGTTTCTAGCGTTCGATTGAGTTTGGATCTCATTGCATTGTTCAGTCAGTCATAAACCCTAACAAGGTTTCTCTTTCTGCTGCTGTTCTGATCTCCTGATACTCTGACCCAAGGCCGCCTGAGGCCCCGCTCTGGCCGGGAAGGGCAGTGCGACTCCAGCCCCTGAAACCCTTTGGGATTTGACTGTGGGGAATGATTCTGTTGAGGCGAAGCTCAGACCCGCCGGAAAGAGAAGTAGCCTGGTTTCATACCACCTTGTTGTGTGAAGGAGGGCGGTTTCCTCACCTTGCCCTGAAGTGCTGTCCCTGCTGAAGGCCAGCAGGGTTAGTGAGCACCGCGGTTCTAAGCCCCTCTCTTCTCAGGAGGACCTGGGGGATCTTCCGTGCTCCATTAGAAAGGATCTTTAAATGAACGGGGACAAAGTCACAGTAAGAGAGTGGAAAGTGAAAATGCGTGACCCCCGACAAGGCTCATATCCTGTTGGAATCAGCCCCTGAGGAGATGAGGTTTTGATTAGGATGTGGGACCTACGCGGTGGGGGCGGGGCAGCAAATACAAGCTTTATTATTATTATTTGTATCAAAACAAGCATAGTTTCATGTAGGCCCCTTAACTCTACTGAGAGACTTGCTGTAGAGTAAAGCCCCGTTAAAAGATACTTGCTGACAGTTGTGATTCGTCCTCCAAGGATTCACGGTTCAGCCTTCCCTATAACAGAGTCCTGTGGGGGTCGTGGCATGGGGCTGGGCTGAAGGCCCCTTCCAGGTCTGGCGTTAGAGATTCCTTCTTCACTGATGTTAAGAGCAGGATTTGGGGGAATTAGTAGGTCTCCTCAAAGCCTAGGTTCACAAACTTCCCATATTTAAAAAATAATTAAATTAATTAAGTTATTTTAGGTTTTATGTATATATTTTTAGGGAGGGAGAAAGAGAGGAAGAGAAATATCAATGTGTGGTTGTTTCTTATGCACCACTTACTGGGGACTCGCCTGCAACCTAGGCCTGTGCCCTGACTGGGAATTGAACCAACAACCTTTTGGTTTGTAGGCCGGTGCCCAATCCACTAAGCCATACCAGCCACGGCTAATTTTATTTATTTTTAGAGAGAGGGAAAAGGAGGAAGAAAGAGAGGGAGAGAAACATCAATGTGTGGTTGCCTCTTGCATGCCCCCTACTGGGGCCCTGGCCTGCAACCCAGGCACGTGCCCTGACTGGGAATTGAACCGATGACCCTTTTGTTCACAGGCTGACACTCAATCCACTGAGCCACACCAACGAGGGCTATTCACATCTTTTCTGAACAGTGAAATTAGGTTTATAGAGGTAAAGTAACAGCTGCTTGAAAACTGGAATGAAACAGATCCTTCTCATAACAATCATGTTTGAAAACATATGAAGAAGAATTTTTCTTTTTCTTTTTACATAATATTGATATGTAGAGGATGTTAACTGAGCTAAGCTTTTTTGGGTTTATGTCTGCTTAGTTACTTATATGGTGTTGGGATATTTATTTACTTAATTAAAAATAAAAGAAATGCATGTACATGCTAAGAATACTTCGGCAGTATAGAAAGATAAAAGTAAAAGCCAGAAGTATTTCTCTCCGTGTGTATCTTTCTAGAAACATTTTCTGTACAGATGGGACTATTTTGTATATACAGATCTTTATTGGTTTGTTAATTTTAAACTTTGAAAGAAGATTGTTAGGAGGTAAGACGGGATATTGAATTAAACAAATAAACAAATGAGTTTACAAAGACATGCACAGGCTAATAGCAAAAAAAAAAAAAAAAGGGTGGGGGGGGGAGGAAGAAAGAAAAACCATCATTACTTGATTAGCCCTTTCTTGGGGGGAGGTCGTTGTGACAACTTCTTCCACCAGGCAGATTGGGAACCTAGTTCCTGTTCACCTGGTTGACTGGCTGCGACATAATTAAAACAGGGGTAGAGTTTCCCATTCTTGAAGAATAACTTCTTTCTAATGTAAGTTCAGTTAATATCAGCACCAGAAACCTAATTAGATCTCTGAGCGCAGCACCAGCTCAGGATGTATAAACACAGTGTTTAGACCTGGAGCAGAAAGGAGAAATAATCCACTTCAGGCCCTTAATTTCAGGGGCCTAGGAGGGGGCTGGGGTGGGGGTAGAGCGGGGTTGGAGCCCCGGATTTAGGCTCCGGTTTGGTCCCCACCCCCGCCCAGGAGGGCATAGCGTTTCAGCCGAGGTGATGCCTGGGGTGCCAGGCTGTGGGTGGCTCCTGGTGGCTTTTGCAGTGTCTCTCGGTGGAAGGAATGGGGACTCGGGGCGAACCCTGATAAAATAGAGGTGTTAGAGGCGGCGGCTTGTACCCGATTTCCTGGAAAAGTGACCTTTACCTACCAGCCCCTCAGTGAAAAAATAACCAAGGTGAAACGTCTCAGAAAAGCAGGCAGTGCATAATACAGTGCCCACCCTGTCCCCACGACCAGGCGGGAAGATACGAAGACATTTCAGACAGAATTGATGCTTCCTATATACCCCTTTGTCAGCTCCCCCCACTCCCCCGTCACTGTCCTGAAACCCACCGCCTTTTCTTTCCCTAAAGGTAGTTCTGTAAGAAGAAAGGGGGAGGGGTAGGCACCGTGCCCCTGGACTCCATAGGAATAAAATGGCAGCTTGTTCGGCATTAACCCTGCACGCCTCCTCTCTTTGTTTCCTGTGGCGGCTGTAGCGAACTGCTGTGAACCTGGAGTTTCCAAACAGCCCGGCCCGATCATGTTCTAGTCCTGCAGGTCAGAGGGCCAACGCGGTCTCCCCAGGTGCGATCAGGGTGTGGGCCGGGCTGCGTCACTCCTGCGGGTCCCAGCGACAGTCTGTCTTTGCCGTGTCTGGCCCCCAGGGGCTGCCCACGCTCCTGGGTCTGTGGTCCCTTCCCCTCCCCGTCTTCCGAGGCAGCGATGTCACACGTCTCCGACGCGCCTCCTGTCCTCACATTTCTTTCTGGCCACAGCCAGGGAAGTTCTCCCATTTCAAGGCCCTCGATCTCGATTCTGTCTGCCAAGTCCGTTTTGCCATGTAAGGTCACACAGTCCCAAGGTGCCGGGGCCTGGGACAGGGACACCTTTGGGGCTGTTATTACTCGGCCTATCGCACCTCCCCTCAGCTTTCCGATGGCGACAGTGTGTCCAGGTGGACGCCTGACATGCTCTGCCCCCAGGAGTGCAGTGGTGGATGGTCCAGGAGGCCAGGCCCGCCTCCCAGGTCCCCTCGTGGCCTGGCCTTGGTCGCTTTCCACGGGGGAGACTCCTCTTCTCCGAGTCTGGGCTTCCTCACCTGCATGACCGGTGTTCTGACCCTCAGCAGGGCTGACGATTGGGGTGGGCTGGTTTTCTGGGGCGTCTGGCAGCATCCCTGGCCTCCACCCACTCCATGCCAGCAGCATGCACCCCCTCCCCCAAGCTGTGACAACCAAAAATGTCTCCTAACGTTGCCAAGTGTCACTTGGTTGGGGGAGCGGACAGAATGGCCCAGTTGAGGAGCCGTGAATACCACCGGCTGAGTATCCGTGAGGCTGAGACAGAAGCCTGGCGGCCGGGCCGCCCTGTCCAGATAATTGGCCTGGCGCAGGAGTGACCCGTGGGCGTCGCAGCCACTGCTGATCCTGTGCGGTCCTCTCTGCCTGGGCCCAGGAAGAGAAGGGGAGCCATGCCTTACAGGGGCCACCGTGAGTGCAGAGCCCCCGCTGGCCCAGAGGAGCGGACGCCGGACCGGGTTGGCAGAGCCTTCCCAGGGACACAGCGGCTGCCTGCCTTTCACCTGTTTGTTCTCCTGTCTACCTTCGTGTTCATTCGCTTGACCTGTGAACCAGGACCCTCAGCCGCGCCTCTGACCTTCGACCCTGTGTTTCATGTAGGTGGCCCTGGTTCAGTGGACCGAAAGCGTGGGCCTAACCCTGGTGGGCCGAGACCAGTCTTCCATGCAGCTGAGGACCCCTGGCGACCAGATCCTGAACTTCACCATCTTGCAGATCTTCCCTTTCACCTACGAGAGCAAGCGCATGGGCATCATCGTCAGGGTGAGTCCTCTTTTGCGCGTGACTCGGCAAGGCTCAGACCCCAGGCATGCGGTGAACGTCCCTGTGGTGGCTCCACTCTCTTTCTTTCCCCTTTCTAACCGCCTTTATCATATCATCTGGTGCCCAAGCTAACACGGGAACGTAATTCCCTAAGCAGAGAGAAAATTAGTTCCCCTGTTGGACAGGACCTCCGATAGCTGATGAGCTGCTGGCTGACCCAGTTCTAGAGGGAAAGGTCTACGGAACGTAGATGGGGCACTTCTTGGTACAAATACATTTCCCATTGTATGCTCTTTCGTTTAATTCAAGGTGTATTTTTTATTAAGGTGAAATTCACATAACGTAAACTAACCATTTTCCATGTATAATTCAGTGGCATTTAGTGTAGTCACAATGATGTGCACCCTTCTGTCAAGTTTCAGGACATTTTGGTCGCCCCAAAAGGAAACCTTGTGCCCATTAAGCAGTCTCTCCCCTCAACCTTCTTCCCCCGCAGCCCTGGACAATCACTGATCTGCTTTCTGTCTCTATGGTTTTACCTCTTCTGGGCACTTTGTGTAAATGGAACCACACAATATGTGACCTTTTGTGTCTCGTTCCTTTCATTTAGTGTGATGCTGTCAAGGTCCATCCATGTTGTAACAGGTGTCAGCACTTCATTGCTTTTTATGGCCAAATAATATTCCGTGTTGCTTATTTATTCATCCTTCGATGGACATTTGGGTTGTTTCCGCTTTTTGGTTATTGTGAATAATGCTGCTTATAGACGTGTGTACAGGAGTTTTAATACCTGTTTTCAATTCTTTTGGGTGCATCCCTAGGAGTGGAATTGCTGGGTCATGCTCGGTCAGTTACTCAATTGCTGGGTAATTCTGTCTTTTCAACTTACGAGAAACACCCAAAGTCCTTCTGCAATGCTGCGCGATTGTGCATTCCAGCTAGCAATGTACGAAGGGTCTGATTTTTGCACATCTTCATCAACGCTTGTTATTTTCCATTTTTTAAATTACAGCCATCCTAATGATGATGAAGTGGCATTTCATTGTGGTTTTGATTTGTATTTCCCTAGTGACTAATGATGCTGAACATCTGCATGGGCTATTGGCCACTCATATATCTTCCATGGAGACATGTCTATTCAGGTCCTTTGCCCACATTTTAACTGGTTGTTTGTCATTTTTTGTTGTTGTTGTTGAGTTGTAAGAGTTCTTTATATAGTCTGGTCAGTAGGGCTTTATCAGAGATATTATATGCCAAAGTTTTTTCTCATTCTGTAGGTTGTCTTTTTACTTTATTGGTAAAATTCGCTTGATGCATGGACGTTACTAATTTTGATGCAGTCCAGCTTGCCTGTTCTATCTTCTGTTGATATTGACTAGGTGTCATGTCTAAGAGTTCATTGCTAAATCCAAGGTTATGAATTTACCCCTGTGTCTCCTTTCAAGAGTTTTGTAGCTTTCGGTTTTTAGGTCATGATCCCTTTTGACTTAATTTTTGTACGTGGTGTGAGGCAGGAGTTCATCTTCATTCTGTTGCATGTGACTCTCCGGTTGTCCCAGCACCATTTGTTGAAGAGGCTATTGTTTCCCCATTGAAGAGTCTTGACACCCTCATTGTAAATATTTTCTTTGAATTTGCATTTGTACAATCACAGAATTATTTTTAAAAATAGACCGTTCACTCAGCATCATCATTGTGCCATATTTATTTCAGAATTTGTTTTTATTGAACTGCAGCATACACAGAGAAAAGCACTAACATTATAAGTGCATAGACCTCAAGTGTTTACAAAGATCGCGCACCCACGAAACCCACGAGCACCAGAGCAAGGGGCAGAGGCCCATCCACCCCCCTCCGGCCCCCCGTGCCCCATTTCTGTTACCCCTCCCCCCATCAGGATACAACCACGGTCCCCCTTGCTATCATTGATTCATTTTGTCCCTTGTTGAACATTGTATACAGGAAGTTGTTCAGTAGATATCACTTTCATATTTGAGTTCATTTGCCCACATGTACATTTATAAGATTCATCTATATTTTTGCATGGATTGTAGCTCAGAACATTTCTTAACGAAATGCAGCGTGCATTCCACTGAAGTCCCCCTCTGCCCCGCCTAGATGTACTTCCCACACCAAGTCCCGTGTTCTTATGAGTTTTAAAATGCTATTATCAGACATGTTGGAGGATAAATACTGTGTGGTGTGGTGTTACATATTTTTATTCTCTATAAGAGTGGCATTGTAGTATATGTATCATTATTCCTCTTCCTGTGTTTTGTTTACCTTCAAATAAACTTAATGTTACACACCCCCATCACTGATCTTAGCTGAGTTTTGATACTGTGTTGTGTGCATAGAGGTTTTTCCTTCGGTCTATTGCAGCTCCCTCTTGACAGGTGTGTGTTAGCGGCTCCTAGCAAGAGCTCTGTGTGCTTGAGGCTCCACTGTGCGCATGTCAGCGTCTGTCTGGGCGGGATTCCTGGCGGGCGAGTGGCTGGGTTGCAGAATACATACATCTCTAACTGCCGGGTATCACCAGCTCTTTCTCCAAAGGGCTTGTACTAACCTCAGTCTCTCCCCATGCTCACCCGCATTGGATAGGCAGACGTTTAAAATTTTGCCTGTCTGAAGAGTCTGAGTTAATATCTCATTTTCCCACTTGCTCTTTTACTCAGAGAGACCATACTTTCCATCCCGGGAGGCCTGGCGACCCCTACGGAGGCCACGCTGTTGTCAGACCTGGCTGATGATCAGAACTGCCGAGGGAGTGCAGGTCCCTTGGCCCCATGCCAGTCCTGTTTCGGAACTGGGGTGGTTCCATGCGATTTGGCATGGCTGGCGGAAACTCTACCTCGGATCATGGGGAATTTTGGAATAAGTCTTTCATCTTTTCTGGATTTAAAAAAAGACAAAATCAAACGAGGATCTCCTCCACCCAACTACACAAGTCTTTCTTGCCTTAGGGATCCGGGTAGCAGATTCTGTTATGTTCTGTTATAGTAATTAGTAATAGTAGTATTAGTAATTAGTAATAGTAATAATTAGTAGAAGTACTAGCCGTAATAGTAATAATAGCAACAGTAAGGACAGTAACAGTAATGGTAGGTAACGTTTAATCAGTGTTAATTGCATGCGAGTCACTGTTCTAAATAATTTGCATAAACTAATCCATTTAATTGTCCCCACAGCCCAGGGAGGTAGGTACCGTTTGATCGGCATTTGACAGAGGAGGAGACTGAGGTACTGAGAGGCCAAGACATCTCCCCAAGGTCGCACGGATAGAAACTGGTGGAGCTGGGATTCGACCCTAGCCTGTCCGGCTCCCCGGTGCCCACTCTTTACCACTAGGTCCTGGGAGTTTGTGTGTGATGTGCAGGACCTGGGAAAGCTCACAGAGCCCCCGAGTAGTGTGGGGCAGCGTTGCTGTGTAGCAGGTTAGCGCACGCTTTGTGGCTTGGAACGTCAGGTGTGCGACCGCACAGTTCCGTGGCCGAGGCGGAGCTCCGGGTCCCTGGCCCAGGGTCTCTCACGCCTGGGGCCGAGGGCTTAGCTGGGGCCGCAGGCTTAGCTGGGGCCGCACCCGTTGTCCAGGGTTCAGCGAGGCAGGACCCACCTCCAGGCAAAGTCAGTTGTTGTTGGCAGGATCCAGTTCTTGGGGGCTGAGGGACCGAGGCCTTAGTTCTCTCCTGGTGCTGGTCAGAGGCCGTGCTCCCTCGTGGCCATGCGGGCCTCTCCGTGGGTCAGCTCCCTTGTCCCCTGGCTTCATCAGAGCGACCAAGTGGGCGCGAGCAAGACGGGAGGGAGCCGCAGTCTTTCGTAACCTGACCTCAGAACTGACCCCACCCCCCGTTATATTTCCGTCCTCTGTCATTAGAAGCAGGTCACTGGGTCCAACACCGACTCCACGGGTGTAGGTCACACGAGGGTGTGGCTACCAGGGGGAGGGGGTCACTGGGAGCCCAGAACCACAGAAACAGCCCCCTGATGGTCGGGTGGCAACAGCATGAACGCTCTCTGACCACAACACATGGCCAGGCCCTGGCCTGGCCCTGGGGCCCGAGGGCCCTTTCAGGCTCCGTGGGGCGTGTGCCCCGGCAGCGCCCGGCCCGAGGGAGCCTTTCTCCCAGGCTCCTGCCGCCTTCGCACAGCTCCTCCTCTGGCCCCGCCCGTGGCTTCCACATCCTCAGTTCGCATCTGGGGTCAGGAACGCCCGTAGCCGTGGAAGCAGCGGCAGAAGTCCTCTGGGTGGGTGTTTCCTGGGCAAGGAGCATCATTATCTCCGATGGAATGACTTTCATTTTGTTCTGGCCTTTATTCGGTCAAGGTCGAGGGCTGTGGACTCGGCAAACGTCATCTCGGGGCTGAGTCATCCCTGAAGAGTCCCCACTATCGGCCCTCCTAGAACGAGCGGGCAGGAGTGCACCCCGCCCTTCCTTCAGCTGTCAAGGACTCCGATTCCCAGACACATGTCCTGTTTTATCAAATGTGGCCCCGTGTCGTCCCACAGCAGGAGCAGGCCGTGTGCCTGGAAGTGTGAGGCGCTGCCGGGTGGGCAAGTGCACCACCTTCCAACAGCACTCCACCCTTCCCGGCCTCGTAAAACATTCAGCATTCAGTTAAGACTTTTGGGGCGAATAAATCTGTAAAGAAGAAGATCCGAACTATCCATCTTTATTTTTCCCACCAAAGACAGCCACTGTTGCATTTTCGGAGATTTTCCCTTCCGTTTTTTTCTAAGCATATGTGAGTGTAAATATCCATAAACATTTTTATAGAATTGGCATGGAACTCCACATAAGGCTTGCTCTCTCCCCACTCCAGTGAACTAATACATGCTGAAAATTTTCTCATATGAGTAAACATGGTTTATTAAATGATTTTAATGCGTGCATGGTGATTTTGGGGGAAAAAGTACCGTTATTTACTTCTAAGTATATATATTTTTAGATGCGTAAGGTCCTCATTTTTCACTGCTAAAGATACGTCTGTGGAGAGCCATCTTTGCGAGGCTGACTTTCGTGAAATACATGTTATTTTGCTAACTTCTCGAGGTCGCTGACCTGCCTTCCTCTTTCTCTTTGCTTTTGGTGGGCAGAAGTCAGCAGCCCGGGGCGTTCGGGCCAGTTTTGCACTTTGCACACATCTCACTCTGCTCCTCTAACAAAGGGGCTCTCCTCTCAGGGCCATGTTGCCCGCAGGGGACACCTGAAGCTACCGGGAGACATTTTTGGTTGTCACAACTCAGAGGATGGTGCCCCTGGCACCTGGAGGGTAGAGGCCAGGACAGCCTCCTCACAGAGAAGAGTCCGCATCGGCCCTGTTCACTGTGCCGGGGCCGAGAACTCCCAGTTCTAATACGTCCATGAAGCCGTTCTGTTCTTTGACAATAACTGTCCATTACCTGATGTGAGGAAGTTTTAGCTCGGTGGCGACGGCTCGTGGCTTGGTTAGTGACTGGTGACAGGGTTTTGCTCTCACCTTGTTCGTCAGCCTGGCTAGACACGTGTGGGCTCCCGGGCCGGACACGGCAGCATCCCCTCTCATTGACACAGCGAGGCCAGGCCTTTGCGCGTGTCCGGCTTCGCAGCAGCTCGGTGAGGTTCAGAGAGGCCGCATTCCTCGGGGCTCATGTGCCTGTCCTTTGGCAAGGGAGGCTGGGTTGTCTGTTTTGTTTATTTTGTGCACAAGATGCTCCACGGCCCTTCCCGTGTGGAGCCGGGTGTCGGGTCCCTGCTCCAGATGATCACCCTTGTTGTTGTTTGCACAGAGCGGGCCTTTGAACAGGTGCCAGCACCAGGCCACAGTGGAAAATGGTGAGGCTCCCCAAACAATGCCGCACAACCAGCAGATCTCTGTGAATTTATAGCGTCATCTTGCCATGATATGGGAACGAAGTAACCTTGCGATGAACTCAGCAGGAGGAAGTGACTAAGGCAGGGAGGCAGTCCACTCAGTGTTTATATTGGACGAGCCGTCGAGCTCTCCTGGGTCCCTTCTGGGGCAGAGGAAGCCGGGGAGGGGACCTTATTTCCTACAGCGATGTTGTTGGCCACAACTTGGGTGAAGGGGAAAGGAGAAAAAACAGCTCGGATGCTTTCATGTTCAGAACCTGCCGCTACCCGTGGCCTGAGTCACGAGGAGGCATAGGCACGAACTGTCCAAGATAAAGCATGTAGCTCCGCTCGCCGCTTTCAAAACGCAGGTGGCTAGCGGGTGCTTTTTATGAGTAAGCATGTTGTTCTAAAAGATTGTCAGCCATTAGAGGGCATTTGAAAGTTATTATTAAAGGAGGAAACCGGACGCCTGACTCGGCGTTGTGTCTTTACTTTGTATGAAGAGTTGATGGGTTTGCGCTCTGGGCTTCCTGAGGTGGCAGAATTCAGGCACCGGTGGTGATGGCCCGCCCAGTTCCCTCACCCATCTCCCTCCCTCCAGCCTTTCCGTAGTGGCATCATTGAGAAAAGAGTCCTGGATGGGACGAGAGCCAGCCATTTCCTCTTCATCCCTCAAAGCCGGGCTTCTCAGCCTTGGTGCTGAGGACAGAGGAGGCCGGGCGAGTCCTTGCTGCGGGGCTGTCTGGGGCATTGTGGGATGTTTAAGCGGCAGCCCTGGCCTCTACTCATTAGATGCCGGCACCAGCCCCCAATCACAACAGCTGAAAATGGCTCCACACGTTGCCACGTGTCCCCTGGGCGGGGGAGGACTTGGCCCCAGTGAGAACCTCTGGGCTAATAAGGCTTGTTCTCCACTTACGGTATGACCGAGGGACTTAGGGAATTACTGTCACTCACACGGAGTGGCAGTTTCTGTGTGTCTGTCCCTTTGCTACGTGCTCTATGTAGGTGATGTTGTCTAAGCTACAAAACCCTGTGCAGTAAGAGTTGTTAGCATCCCTGTTTTCCAGGTGAGGAACCTGAGGTTTAGAGAAAAGGAGTAGCTTGTTCATTGGGGTGGATCAGCTGGGAGCTGGTGCCAGGTCTGAGCATGTGACGCCTATACAGGGGATCATCCCCTGCTCCCCAGAAAAGCTGGTCAGACTAAAAGATCTCTAGCTTGGTGCTCAGGTACACAGAGGGGCTTGGGATTCTCTAGATCAGTGGTTCTCAGTGGGGGCGTTTTGCCTCCCAGGGGACACGTGTTAATGTCTGGAGACACGTTCTCTGTCACCCCGGGGAGGGGGGGTTGCCAGCATTCAGTGGGTGGAGGGTGAGGGATGCTGCAAAGGGTCCTGCCACACACAGGCGCCCCCCCCGCCCCCCAGCAAAGAATTCTCCGGCCCCAGTGTGAACAGTGCGAAGGCTGAGCAACCCGGATCTACGTAGTCACCTTCCCAAGTCCTGCGGGGGGACGGCAGTTTGGTGACATTTGGCAGTTCAGTGTGTAAATTTAAAGTTATCTTACAGCATGGGAGTTGTTCCTGTTGGAATGGTTGTAATTAAAAAACACACACACACACAAAGCACAAAGTTCTTGTATCCTTTTGATCTTGCTTTCCTCATATAATAATTTTTCAAGTGCTCTGAGTTCTCTTCTGTTTTCTGTGGCCTCTGCCCCAAAGCGAGGCCCCCTCTGGCTTTTTATCTCCGGCCAAGTGAGAAAACATTGGCGTCTGCTGAGCGCGCTTTTCTGCCATCTGTCATGGGAAGCGGGCGTTCCTCTCGGTTACCCCTGCCTCCCGGCCCCTCTAGGATGAATCGACGGGGGAAATCACGTTCTACATCAAGGGAGCCGACGTCGTCATGGCCGGCATCGTGCAGTACAACGACTGGCTGGAGGAGGAGGTGAGCGTGGCGTGGGGCTGGGGACCGTCCTTGCACGCACGGCATAGTGAGGTGGGTCTCTGTGTTCCTTATCCAGGGCCACGCCACATGTCACCCCAGAATGTTGCAGCTTCAGAAAACACATCTACTTCCCATTGTTTCGGTGGGTTGGGAACCCGGGGACAGTGTGGCCGGGTCCTCCGCTCAGGCCTCTCACAGGCTGCAATCAAGGGCTTGGCCGGGTGGGGGCCTCATCTGAAGCCTCCACCGGGGCAGGACCCGCTTCCAAACTCGCTCAGCGGTCGCGGGCAGGGCTCAGCTCCTTGGTGGCTGTTGGCTGGAGGATGCCACCTTTCTTGCCGCAGGGACCTTCATAGGACAGCGTACAATGCATCAGCTGGCTTTGTCAAAGTGGATAAGCAAGGGAGCGGGACAGGGCAAAGAGACGGATGTCACTTGTTTTCAGAAGCGACCTCCTCTCACTGTTTGCCACGTTGTTTGTTGGGAACAAGTCACTCGGTCCAACACACACTCCAGGTGTGGGTACCAGGAGGCAGGATCTTGGGGCCACGTCACAGGCTCCTGTCCCAGGTTGTAACATGGAATCGGAACCGGCAGCCGCAGAGAGGGAGGGGGCCCTCAGGTTCATCGGTCCGCTTGTGTCTCATCCTCTCCGATCCGGGTGGGGAACTCACCTGCTGCGTTCAGTAACGCTGTCCCTTCAGTTCGATAGGCAGTTTGCAAGCCCAGATGCCGACAGGGGCCAGGCAGGTGACTCTCAGGAATGGCACTGGCCGGGACGTGTTTTTCTGGCAGGGCCCTCCTCTGTGTGTCCAGTGCATTGGCAGAGCCTCCACCTGACAACTGTTTGCCGGGGGCCCGTGGACGCGGTCGCATTTCACCGGCACCGGTTGTAGTTGCTGGGGAAAGCGTGCTGTTGTCACAGGTTCAGATTTGTCTGTGGAATCTTACTGCGTTGACTTAACATTTCGGGACACATACGGGGCCGAAGGAGTCTGTGTGTGGCCCGCGGGCTGTCACAGCAAAGGTGGCCTCCCCTTGGGAAGGTTTACTCAGGGAACACTGCTTGGGGGAAGGCAGTGTTCCGATTTGCCTCTGGTCCCCTCGGGAAGGCCTGGCCCCTGCGGCGTCCAGCCCCGCTTAGCGGGAGTCGGGGCCCGGGGGCAGAGCCCTGAGCACAGCTCTCTGCTGACCGCCGTCTGCCTTTCAGTGTGGCAACATGGCCCGAGAGGGACTGCGGGTGCTCGTGGTGGCCAAGAAGTCTCTAGCCGAGGAGCAGTACCAAGACTTCGAGGTAAGCGGTCCTGCCACCGTTCGGGTATTTTTCCAGCCCCGCCCACCTCCCCTCTCCTCTCCTCCCACTGTGCGCCTCTGCGCACAGTCAGTCTCGCCTCTGCCCCAGGGCCTCTGTGCTCCCCTTCTCTTGGCCTGGAACAGTCTTCCCGCGCATCGCTCCCCCCCAGGGCCCACTCCCTCCCTCCCTGGGCTCTCAGCTCAAATGCCGCTGCCTCTAGAAGTCTTCCTGGACTCCCCACCTAAGGCAGCCCCGTTTCATCCCTCTCCACCCATCACCCGCTTAACTTTTTTCATTGCATTTATCACAATCTGCAATGACCTTGTGTTTCTATGTTAACATTCTTAACATCTCCTTTCTGGAATAAAATCGTTTTGAGAGCAGGCACTCGGTCAGTCCGCGTGGCTCTTACATCCTCAACATTTAGGATAGTCAGTGGCACATAGTATACCTCCTGGGAAATTTGGAATGAATTTCCCTCTTGGGGCTCTAATTTTTTTAAGCTGTAGAAATTGTTAGGGTTGAACTAGATTGCTGACTTTTATGGCCAAGGGTTCCAGCATAAATATGTCTTGTCCCATAGGTTGCGTGTCCCTTGAAGGGAAGGATCCCCTGTATATCCCCAGTCCTAGCATAAAGCCAGATGCACACACGCCCACAATGGGAAAGGAGAGGTGCAGTGGGGCAACCAGCTCGGGGACCCTTGCCCTGTCCCCCCGCAGGGAGGCTGTGCTTGGTTCTGTCTCTTTTATGTGTTCGAGTTCTTCATAAAGTTTTCGTTAACGAGAGTTCTAGCCCTGGTCGGCCTTGGGTCGGCCCATTAGGGAGTTTTGATTTTCTCCCAGGTCTCTGCCAACACTGGGAAGACAGGAGGAACGGAAGAGTTGGGTCAATGGTTTTTGGAGTGGGACTTTGCCAAGGACCTTGGTTATGAAGCGTATGTTTTGTGTGAAGCTACTGTTTTTCTGAGATCTTGAGGTGTGAGGTTGCGGCTGTTATTGCTGCTGCATGAATAAAAACAGTAGAGGCTCAGAGAGGTTAAGCAGCTTGCTGGGAGTTGCACAGCAGGTGAGTGTAGACTCAAGGGCACAACTCAGGTCTGTCCAGCTCCAGTGTCTGGACTGATGGACTTGGAAGGGGACCGGAAAGCCTCGGTTGTATCCCTCTGAGGTCTATACCGCGTGCTGCAGCGGCACCAGGCCCGGCCTGTTCCCCTCTGGGTGTGACACAGCCTTGCTCCTCCCCGCCCTAAGTGGTGACTGTGTCCCCCGCTGCGTCCCAGGCCCGCTACGTCCAGGCCAAGCTGAGCGTGCACGACCGCTCTCTCAAAGTGGCCACCGTGATCGAGAGCCTGGAGATGGAGATGGAGCTGCTGTGCCTGACGGGGGTGGAGGACCAGCTGCAGGCGGACGTGCGGCCCACGCTGGAGACGCTGCGGAACGCCGGCATCAAGGTAGGGCGGCCTGCGGGCGGCCGGCTGCGCCCACCGCCGCCCCGGGGAGAGGAGCACAGCAGTTACTCCAGCCGTCCCGTGGGCAGAGTGTAAGAGGAGAGGCGGGAGAGCGGTGGACGCTAGCAGAGGGAGCCAGGCAGGCCTGGCCTCCCAGCCCCGTCCCAGCTGGGTCACTGTCATCCCTTCCCGCCCTGACGGCCCTGGTTTGGAAGACAGCTTGTGTGCCTGCTTTTCTGGCTGTGCCCCTGCCGACCACGCCGGGCTCCGCGAGGGCAGGACCTCGTGCGTCCTTTTATCCCTCAGTGTCAAGTGCGTTCATTATATTCTTGTGGCGTGACTGGCCGGCCAGCCGTCTGTCTCTTGGTCCGCACAAATGGGTGACCACCCAGCAGAGCAACCACCTGCTCCAGCCAACGGCCACATTTAGAGTTTGTACTCTACTGTTTGGGGCCAAAAAATATATAGATCCAGGAGTTCGACCGGGAGAGGCCAGTAGAGGGCGTCTGAGGAGCAGGCTGCCTCTTCATGGACCCTAGCAAAGGACCAGCAAACGCGCTGGCTCAATGCTCCTGAAAACCTGAGCGTGTGTTTGGCACCTGCCCCTCGCCCCACAGAGCAGCTCCGGCCGTGTGCCTGGGCCTGCGTTCGGCAAAAGTGTGTGGGGGTGGGGCCACAGGAGCTTGTGGATTAGACCTGCCGCCAAGGGCCTCGGGCACGTCCGTGCCCGTGGGGGCTCACCCGCGCGTGGGCATGGAATTTTGTGAGCAGAATGCCGTCTGCCATGTACCTTTGGCTCCCAGAAAACTGCCAGCGAGATCCCCTTTTAGGAAAACAGTCTGATGTCAGAAGGGCCTGTTTCTGCTACATTGTGGTATTGGAAATTTGTCACTTGGCCATCTCTAAGCCCTTCCCTCTTGGAGTTTTGAAGACTTTAGTTTCTGCTTCTGACTTCATCCTGAGGTTCTTTTTCCTTCTCAAAACCGTTTTCTCCAAAAGGCCTTTTCACTCACAGTGTGGCCGGGGCTTCTCTTTCGGGTTTCCCTTGTTAGGTAGGAGGGAAAGGGGAGGGCGGGGAAAGCATCAAGGTAGTTGTAATTAGGACTTAGGTCAGGAGCCAGGAGAGGGTAGGACTTGGGAACGTTTTGCTTCAGCCCCTTCCCCAGATGCGTTACACCCTAGGGTCAAACCCAGAGGCAAGGGCCCCCTTGGGGGCTCGGTGCCTTCATCCCCGCCGCCGTACTGCCTGGGTTCCAGTCCCTCCTCTCCATCGATGACTTCTGTGGCCCTTGGCAAGTGCCTTGACTTCTCAGTGCCCCCCGTTTCTTGGCCCGTAAAGTTGCCGTGAAGGTAAAATGCACCCAACGTGAGCAGCACTGGGTGGGTGCCTTCCACAGCGAACCCTCGGGAACCCTCGCTGTTATTTCCTCTCCTATTCTCCCCACGGCCCACATTTCATTTGTCTGATGGCTCTGGGGCCCCTCCCTGCTGGGAGCAAAGAGGACAAAGGGTTAGTGGGTAAATCAGCAGACAGAGCACAAAGCACATCCCATCTGGACTTTGAAGACGCAGATTCAGGACCCTCACTGAGTGGCTTTGGGGCAAGTCACCTACCCTCTCTGACCGTACAGCAATGACAGGCAGGAGGACCTGTTACAAGGCTAGAACCAGGCACGTTTACAAGCAGCGGTTTATAGTTAGGGGTAACCCAGTGACAGTTCTGACAGGCTCCTGAACAGGTAGAAAGAGCGCGTGTAACATGACAAGCCCCTATTACCTACAGGACACAGGACTGACCCCTCATGTACACAGGCTTCCCTTTCCTGGAGATTATTGCTTTAAGAAAAATTCCCAGAAGAGGGGTTATGAGGTCAGAGGCCCGTGGTGTCTGCCGAAGCGTGTGGCCCAGCAGGTCTCTGGAAGTGTTACGCCAGCGTTGGCTGCCACCAGGAGTGGCCGCTCCGCGTCAGGAAGCCCTTGAACCAGGGCGTTTCCTGGGCGGGGTGGGGGGGGCGGGCACCATGAGCCTTGAGGAGGTAAATGACACCTGGCAAGTTCAGCTCGCTGTTCTGAGACACTCGGCTGACGCCGGCGACAGGCTGGCCTCGCACACTAACAGAGGACCTCCTTCATGCTGTAATTTCAGGTTTGGATGCTGACAGGCGACAAGCTGGAGACGGCTACATGCACAGCAAAGAATGCACATCTGGTGACCAGAAGCCAAGACATCCACGTTTTTCGGCTGGTAAAGCGCTCTCTGCATTGGGGCCACGTGGGAGTGTGGCTGCAGTTTGCCCCGTAACCTCCTAACCTCGAGGGGGCCCCCAGGGCGGGGTCCATGGTAACCACCTGGGCGGGGCTTACGTCCTCAGCTGGGGAGGAGCTACTGAGTGACCCAGGCGAGGCCGCAGGGCTCCTTCCGGTGGTTCAGGAGCGCCTCGTTCCAGGCCTGTGTGTTAGCGTTGTGTTCTTAACCTGGTGGGGTCGCGGTCCCATTTGAGAAGCTGATGAAAGCTGGGCACGATCGGCATGAAGGATGCAGATAGGCTCGTGCACATGAAGTTGTATAAATGGGTCCAGGATTCTGCTGAGCCCCCGAAGGTCCAGTCCTTGGATAAGAAATAAATCCCAGCTCATAGATGTTGGCCTGTCTGCCCTCCTGAAGGGAATGTCTTTAGGAGCCTTTAGAAGGAGTCACGTTGAGTAGGCACAGGAGAAATGTCCTGCCCTTGTGGCAAGCACTCGACCGAAACAGAGCAGGCATGAGTAGCTACTGTGAGGCTGGAAGCCACGGACTGGTGTTGGCCTCATTGAGTTGGGAGGTGAGGCACTCCGGTCCCCTCTGGGGCAGGATGTCCCACTTACCTGAAATCAGAGCCACCGTGCCAGACCACCGCAGGAGTAGATGTTTTGGGGGTCTCCCCCTTACCCTGTCTTTGGCCCATAGCACATAGAAGCTTCCAGAAATCCAGCCATTAGGGGAAAATCACAGACGGTGTTGTTTAGAGGCGGAGACAGTCGATCGTCATGGTCATGGAGTCTGTGTCTGCAAATTTGCTGACTCACTAAAATTTATTTAGAACCTGATATCGACATTGAAGGTGCTTTCAGAGTCACCTGTGGGCAGGTGCCAGGGGTGCAGAATTTGAGTCACGTGATGTGCATGTTCCCAGCTGAGGTCAACAAGGTGACACACTGCTGTCTTGTTTTAGCTTTCACACTGGACACAAGTGCCCTCTTCACAGTTTATTCAGTGCCACTTCTTTTGCATTTTTGTACTTTTTGTTATCGATTTTGCTGTTTAAAATGCCCCCAGTGCAGAGATGAGGTGCTGGCTGGTGTCCCTAAGCACAGGAAGACTGGGATGGGCCTCGTGGAGAAAACGCTGGGCTAGATAGATCAGCTTCATCTGGCCGTGACTTCTGGCCATGCGGTCGGTGCTAAGACACCGACAGATATGTACTGTAAAAGATGTCTTTGAGTGGACACACATACAAAGTGAGGCTAGGTGCTGGCCTCTTGACAGAAGCATTGTGAGCAGAGGCTCATGGGAACCTAGCGCCATGTTTCCCCTGGGAGCAGTGGTCCCATGTTTGCTAATTCAGTGTGTGGCACGATGGGGTGTCCAACCGTTGGGCATCTCTGGGCCACACTGGAAGAAGAAGGGTTGCCTTGGGCCACATGTTAAATACATGGCAACATGTAATCACAAAAAAAAATCTCACATTGTTTTAAGTAAATTTACGGTTCTGCGTTGGACTGCACACGGCCCGTGGGCCACAGGCTGGACACCCCTGGGTAGAATGCTTTAATGGTAATGAGGATTGACTGTGTGGTCTAGAAATCAGGGGTTGCAAACATGGCTCTTGTGCTGGCCCCCTGTTTTGGCAAATAAAGTTTTATTTAAGCGCAGATGCACCCAGGCGTTCCCGCCGCTGTCCAAGACGGCTGCGGCAGTGCGGCGGCAGAGGCGAGTAGGGTGACGCAGACCGCGGGGGCCGCAGCGCCTGCAGGGGTTAGCGCCTGGGCCTTGGTTGGAGCGCTGGCCTTCCTGCCAGGTGCCCACCCGTGTCGTGGCAGCTGTGTTTCTTTAGGCAGCTCGCAGATCCCGCTCGGCTTCAGTGTCCTTACGTGTAAAGAAGAGCTGTCATCCTTGGCACCTCGCGGGGTCCTTGTGAGAAGTGCATGGGGACAGTCCGGGAGGAGTGCTGAGCAAGGGCCTGGCACGGGATGAAAGCGCTGTCACTTCCAGCTCTTATTTGTATTATGTGGGTCACAGCCGTTGCGGGGAAATGGAAGGGATGGCCGGTCTATGGGCTCTCCGGATTCCCACAGAATCCTCACAAACAGGATTTCATTTGGCTCTGGGTCTGGTGGCAGGGAGGGGCAGGAGTCCTTGGCCGGGGTGGCCATTGTCTTCACACTGGCTCCAGGAAGCTGCTGTTTGTTGTGCCGTGGTCCCCAAAGACCAAGGCCTCCACACCCTTGTGTTTCCCTCCAGGTGACCAACCGTGGTGAGGCCCACCTCGAGCTGAACGCCTTCCGCAGGAAACACGACTGCGCCCTGGTCATCTCTGGAGACTCCCTGGAGGTAGGCTGCCTCGCGCCCCTGCCCGCAGCGGCCCTGGGGCAGGTGGCCTTGGCTGACCCGCCCCTTCTCTCCGCCCAACAGGTTTGCCTCAAGTACTACGAGTACGAGTTCATGGAACTGGCCTGTCAGTGCCCAGCCGTGGTCTGCTGTCGCTGTGCCCCCACCCAGAAAGCCCAGATTGTGCGCCTGCTGCAGGAACGCACTGGCAAGCTCACCTGCGCAGTAGGTAGGCAGGCTCACTGCGCAGTAGGTAGGCAGGCTCGCCGCGCAGTAGGTAGGCAACCTCACCTGCGCAGTAGGTAGGCAGGCTCGCTGCACAGTAGGTGGGCAGGCTTGCTGCGCAGTAGGTAGGCAACCTCACCCGTGTAGTAGGTGGGCAGGCTCGCCACACAGTAGGTTGGCAACCTCACCTGCGCAGTAGGTAGGTGAGTAGGCAGGCAGGCGGCGGCCCCAGGCCTGTCCCGCTGGTGCATAGGATCCATTTTCAGGCAGGATAATTGGATCCTGCTGCTACGTTCTTCAGACTCCCCGGGCCACTTGGCTTATTAGGTCATTGTGTTTTCCCCCGTGGACTTGGCTCTATTTTTATCATAATTATTATTTTTACTGTTTCCCTTTGAGAAAGAGGAGATAAGCATGCCTGAGGGCTTCTCTCCTCAGCTTGCACTTTCTTGGCCAGCGACATGGGACGCCACGTTGCAGAGGGGTGAAGACCACACACCACGGAGTTGGACCTGGGTCCCACTCGTTGCTGGTTTTATTGGCTGGGCGCCCGGGCGGCTTCCCTCCCCCGTCGGCCTCAGTGCGCTCATTGGTAGAATGGGATAATTACAGTGCCTTTTTCCAGGGGTGCTTGGGAGATTAAGTGGGGCACCTTTTAAAAAGTCCTCCTCACAGTGCCCAGCCAGTGCCAGTCACCTGGTCCCTCTGGCTGTCCGCTCTCTGCACGTAAAATACGACCCGATGCCGCAGGTTGGGGGTGTGGCTAAGTGGAGCAGCGCAGAAACGACAGTTTGGAGGAAGCACTCAGTAAAAAGGCAAAGGCAGACCAGGTATGATTAGTGCAAGCAATCGAGTTTCTCACCTCTCCCCAATTCCCCCCGTCCCTCTCTGGTCTGCGTGACCCGCAGGTGATGGCGGCAACGACGTCAGCATGATCCAGGAATCTGACTGTGGCGTGGGCGTCGAGGGGAAGGTGAGCAGGGATGGGGCGCCGAGCAGGGGCGTGTCACGTGGTGTGGCGTGGCGTTGGCTGGTGGCTGCTCTGCCCCACGAGCTGGAGTTTCTTTTTTCCTCAAAGGCACAGCTTTGGAAACTGCTTCTGGAAATTGCACATTAGAAATTGTACCTTATAAGGAACCATGTGTCCTAGTCTCATTACCTGGGAGTCAGAATCCATGTCGCGGTGTCTCACCGACAAATGCTGATTCCTTCCTTCCTTCCTTCCTTCCTTCCTTCTTTTTCTTTGCTTGCCAAAACTCAAATTTAAAAGAGACAGGTTTTTGCCATATTCTTAGGGTACAGTGAATGTACTTCAAACTTTCCCTTGGTGGGAGCGTTGTGAGTAAAGGCACAAGTTACCACACGGTGTGCTGCCCTCTCGGGGATCGTGGAGGTTGGCTGGTCCCTAAGAGGCCTTGGCAGCTGCAGTGATTTCAAGTGCTCATGTTACAACGGTTTTTCGGTTTCCTTCCTTGTCGACTGTGTGCTTGCCGCCCATGGTTTACCCCGCCCTCTCTCACCGGTGTCCTTCCCGGGGCTGCGGGCCAAAATATCGGTCACTGACTTTGTCAGAACTGGGTGCAAAATAAGAGGACAGAGGCCGCGCGTGAGGGCCAGAGAGGCTGCGCGTCCACTTTGGTCCATAGCTTCATGGGTGTGGCTAGACCACAGCCCTTTTTTTCCTTTTTCCTCCTTCCTGGTTTTGCTCTCTCCTCCACGCTGACAGTTGTTTGAAGTTGCAGAGTTAAGTGACCGTTGAAGGAGATGTGTCTGACGGCCACGTAGACCCATTTCGTGCAGGATTTAGGAAGCGCACGTGAGCTGGATCAGTAGATAGAAATCTTCACACGTGTCTGTGTAGAACTAAAACATTTTCTCTTAAAATTGTACTCTGATGCTGCTGTGTTTTTTGGCATATAAAAGGAAGAAGTGGTCACTGTAAAAAAAAACTAAAACAATGTAGAAGTGGATAAAACATCTTTTTTTGAGATAGCTGCATCTAATGAGTGACATTGGTTATTCTTCAGAATTTTTGTCTATGTGTATATTATGGATTGTGAGTATGTATGTTCTGGGGTGGGCAAAAGTAGGTTTACAGTTGTGGGTACATGAAACAGAGTTTATTCTTGTATTATTGCTGATTGATTATTGTAGTATTTTCCGTACAAACAACTGTAAACCTACAAAAGTAGGCTTGCTCCTCCTTAAACCTACAGAGGAGGTGTCCACCTCTGTATACATTATATACACACGTATATATACGCATATACATATATACACAGACACCTTACACATGTATAGATAATAGTTCCATACCATTTTAAATTAGAAACATTATGGATTTTTAATGCAACTTGCTGAAATCTGTTATGCCTTGGATTTCTTTCTACATTGGAACACGTAGATCCATCAGTTCTCACCGTCCCTCAAACTTTTTATTTGGAAAATGTCAGGCCTTCAGAAAAGCTGAAATGGAACAATGAGCACCTGTCTCCTCTTTGCTTCAGTTTACCGATTGTTAACATTCGCTGTGATCTCTGTCCCCTCCCCGCATGCTCCAAATCAGTTGGAAGTCAGCTGCAGGAGGAGCGTGTTACCCCTAAAACTTTAGCGCGGACCTCTTAAGGAAAAGAGCATTCTATGTCTGCAAAATAACATTATCTCCCCCACAAATGCCATGTTCATAGACTATCATATAGTTTTCATAGCTCAGGTTCTCCTGTTGTCCTCAAAACGTTTAATACAAAATATCTCCAGGAACCAATGAAGGATCACACATTGCAGTAATTAGCATGTGTTCATGTCTCTTCAGCCTTTTATAGTGTAGGGTGCTTTCTCTGTCCTTTTTTGGGGGGGGCATGTTTTTCATGACATTGACATTTTTGAAGCATTTGGGGCAGCTGTAGAGTGTCCCACGATTTCTGTGGATCAGGTTGATTTGATTCACGGCCTGTGTTTTGGGAGTGGGTAGCTCTTAAGGGAAATTTGTGTCTTCCTGTTGCATCAAATGAGGCAGCTCTGATGTCTGTCTGTCCCATGAGTGACATCTGTCTTGTACCTTTTAAAACTATAAAATTTCAAAAATTCCATTTATGGTTGCCCTGTAAATTATTTCCACTTCTCTGAATGTGCAAAGCTATGTGTTCAGAAACATTCTATTTAAATAGTCCATTTAATGTTGTTAGTAGCACCTGATTCCCCTCCATGTTTAACTCCTAAGGGAACTGAGCGTAATAAAATGCCTGTCTTTGAATGAGTCTTTGCTTCTGATACACATTATGGGGTAGGCGTTACCCCCAAAGCTTCATACTAGATCCATTTGACCTCCAAAATTATAACTATCTGTGATTCAGAATGTTTTTTCTGTAAATAAATTCCTCTTTTTAAATCAAATTGAGACTTGGACCACCAACTGTGTGTAGCTTGAAACCAAAGAATCTCTCATTTGAAGGTCTTCAAAGGTCTCCTTACAATGTCTTGCTTTTTCAATGAAAACAAACGTGTTTACCTTGACCTCTTGCGCTTCTGACGGCGCCCCATTTCCTCGGATTTTAGGAAGGAAAACAGGCGTCCCTGGCTGCGGACTTCTCCATCACACAGTTCAAGCACCTTGGCCGTCTGCTCATGGTGCACGGCCGGAACAGCTATAAGCGGTCGGCTGCGCTCAGCCAGTTCGTCATCCACAGGAGCCTGTGTATCAGCACCATGCAGGTGGGTGGGCGGCAGGCAAAAGCCTGAGAACGAGGCTCTGTCTTGGAGCTGTTGCCCTGTCGGGGCAGCTGGTGGACCTCGGATTGCCCCAGACCCTTCCTCTTAGGGGGTGAAGGCCATTCTCAGGGTGCTGTGTAAATAACCGCAGTTATTAGAATCGGAAGTGGGTTAAAATTGATTTGCCAGAGGGGAAAAAGCAGAGTTAAATGCTGAGTGGTTACTGAGTTTTTCACATGCAGAAGTCAGGGTCAACAGCAAATAACCACCGAGAAAAGAGAATAATTTGCTTTTTTCAAGAGCTTCCTGTACGCTGTCAGGCAAAGTGTTCACACTGAAACGTCTCACTTGGTCCTCATGATAGCCTGTGTCCATTTCACAGACAGGGAGTCGAGGCGCACGGGTATGGTCTGCTCAGACGGGGACTCCAGGCCTGGCCCTTAACCAAGGTCTCCTCCTCGGTGCCCTCCATACAGAGCAGCCATAGCAGTTAGCTGTGTACCAGGAAGAAGGCGAAAGCAAAGGAAAGAAAGCATTTTGGGTGTTGAGAAACTATCGACGGATTTTCCTCCGTGGGCATTTAGGCGAAAATACTGCCAGTAAAGTGGCAAGAACATAGGGATGCTATATCTTGGAACTCACATCTTTTTCTGATCAAATCACTAAGTATAGCGGGTCCTCGAATAATGTCCATTTGTTCAACGTTATTATGTTGGTGACAGGCCATAAGAACTTCACTCTTTTTTAACTCAGTTAGCCTATGGTAAAACTTCGTTTCATTATGCATCATTTCCATCATTTCAATTAAAGGCACAGAACCTGTTGACGAAGTTAGGTGAGAACTCACTGTATCTTTGATACCTCGCTCAAGTCCCCTCGCTCTTCCAGGTCTCAGTCTTTTCACCTGTCCATGGGGGCAAGACCGGCCTTGCCTCTCAGACAGGCTTCCTTTGAAAACCAGAGAGTTTTGTAAGGGAGCAAGTGCTGAAGGCATCTTTACCCTTATTAACAAAACAAAACAGGATAGTGTATACAATAAGGTGACATTTCACTTTGTAGGAAAGGTGTTGAATCAAACACGAAAGGCATAAGGCACCCGCCATGCTCCTGAGCCAGACGGTGCTGCTCTGGGTTTATGAGAATTCGTTCTTCCCTGGCCTCATGCAGGCCTGCCTTGTGGGGGGGCTGTATGTTTTTAATATCTACTGCATTTGGGAGTGTAGGGGCCTTAAAGTGATTTTCATCAACGTGATCTAAACCCAAACAGCTGGTGTGGTTCATCAGACCACATCTGCACTTTTAATTTATGTTCGCTCATCAATTGGGCTGGATAGTACTGTGGTTTTAATCACTGGGAGATTAATCAGCTCGTTCCTGGGCAGGCACACACAAGCTGGCCTGGGCGCGCTGACTTCCGGAAGGCTCACGTGTTACCACGAACATCGATTCAGGAAAAACACCGCACGAGGGGAAATGGTTCTTTGCACTAGGGAACCGCCCTTGCCCCCTGTCCGCTGTGCTGAAAGTGGCCGGCCAAGAGCAAGTACCTGTCAGGTCGGACCTTGACGTTGGTCGCCTCGATAAACATAGACATAGCATGTTGGTTTTTCTCCCCACACACTGTTCTTTTCAAGATGGAGTCTTTATGGTCAGCCCGGTGCTTTTGGAGAAAGGGGCTGTCAGTGGTGATTTGCAAAACTAAACACCCAATTTTTTAGCATTCTTACAACCATCCCTTCTCTGCAGCGGCCCGGCCTGGGCGAGAAGTTATTTGAAAAGTGGCTTTCACCTTTCAATTTTGAAATCATGACCAGGGTGCACAGGGCTGCCAGAGACAATGGCCCTAGGTAACACCTGTGTTCTGGGCTCTGTGCCCAGTGAACAGGTAGCAGGTGATACGGGGAGACGTCTCAGGTTAGACACTTTCTAATCGCTGGGCTGGTTCAGCCTTTCTCTCCATGTTCCGTTTTCGGAAACCCTTCAGGCAGCAGGCACTCCTGGCCTTCCTTTGGTTTTGTGCTAATAGAAATGAGCTCAGGGCGGCTTTGCTTCTATGGGTCTGGGCGTGTCCGGGGGGGTGACAGAGCGTCAGGCCTGATTCGGTCTCCCCACCGCTCCGTAATAGTTTCCAAATCAGGAGGCAGACATTTCAGGGTTTGGGGAAGGGTTTGTAAATATCTGTATTGCTTTTGTCTAATTGCACTTTGTAACGATTTCAAAACTATTAAGACGCTGGTAAAAGGACTAAAGCTTTCTCTCCCACCCCAGGCTGCAGGGTAACTGGTGGATATCCTTAGCGGGGAGGCAAGTTTTCCTTATCAGCTTCCACCCATAGGCCACCTTGTTCCTCGGCTGCACATGCAGAGAGGCGGGAGTTCTGAGCTGTTGGGAGTGTGGGCTCTGGAGACAGGAGGGGTTGGGGTCCCACAGTGCCATTTCCCTGCCCCGTTTGCCCTTCTGTGCAGTACAGGCGCTATTAGGACCCAGTCTCATGAGTGGCTCTGGAGACTCGCTGAGCTCATGGAACTTAATGAAATGTTCGCAATGGGGCTGAGCGTGGACTCTGGAGCTGGACCCCTGGGTATGAATGAGTCCTGGCTCTGTCACTTGCGAGCTGTGGGATCTCGGGCAAGCCCCTTAACCTCTCTGTGCTTTTTCTCATTGGTCACACGGGGATGGTGACGACAGTACCTACTTCATAAGGTTGTTGTGAGAATCAAATGGGCCAGTGTGCTAAGGAATAAAATAAGTGCTTTGTAAGAGGTGGGTGTTTGTTTTAAGAAACATAAACAAGGGCTTTTGTCACGGTGCCTGCTGACGTCCCCCTCTCTCCTCGGCACAGGCTGTCTTTTCCTCGGTGTTTTACTTCGCCTCCGTCCCTCTGTACCAAGGATTCCTCATCATCGGGTAAGGAAATCCAGCAGGGTATTACTTTCTCAGGAAACGCCCGGAAGTGCCACAAAAGAGAGGAGAAATATTGGTTAATCAATCAGCCCCCAAATTGCCAGTCAGGCTGGGTCCAGCAATGACACTTATTAGAATTACGAAGTGTTTGAACTGCTCAGCCCACGACCGGGTTGAGGAAGGCGAGTCTGACAGGCGCGGGGTCCAGGTGCTGGGCCGTGTGGACCCGGCGCGGGACAGCCGCTCGCCCACGGGAGGCAGAGGTCACGGCGAGCAAAGCACAGCCGAAGGTTCGCAGACTCGGCGACTGCACGGGGGCCTTAGGAACAGAGAAAAGTGGGTCCGGAAAGTGCCCTCCCTGCGCCGCTGACCCCATGGGACGTCCTGCTGTTGGGTCGGCATGGCGGGCCAGAGCCTCGCTCGCTCGCGCACTCTCAGGAGGCGCACTGAAGAGTTTGACCCCTACGTGCCACAGACCCGTCCGGAGGGTGTCACTTGGACATTGGCTGCCACCAATCCAGCCCCACGCCTGACCTGGAATTCGTGGCTTTCCTCTTGGCAGGTTCAGAGAAGGTGCTCAGTCCTTGAGTTCCCTAGGTAGGTGGAGTCTGGTTACCGTGTGCCCTAGACAGGGAGGCTCGGGGCGCACTTCTGGTCCTGCAGAGGCACAGAGAGGCCGGCTGGCCCCAGGGGACACTCTTGCCAAGTGCACTGTCTACCTTCTTACGTTTTGCGAGTTCAGCCTCTGAGTAGGCGCTGGAATTGTAATTGGGAAAATGGACTGTCCTGCCCTGGCCGGTGTGGCTCGGTTGGTTGGAGCATCATCCCGTAGAGCAAAAGGGCACGGGTTTGATTCCCCGTCAGGGCCCCTATCCAGGGTTGCAGGTTTGCTCCCTGGTTGGGGTGTGTACAGGAGGCAGCCACTGGACGTTTCTCTCTTACAGTGGTATTTTTCTCTCTCTCTCTCTCCCTCTCTCTTTCTCTCCCTCTAAAAATATTAAGCAATGAAAAAATGTCCTTGGATGAGGATTTAAAAAAAAAAAAGGAAATAGCTTTTTCAGGTCCTGGAAGAATGAAAAAAAAAAAAAGGAACATGGCTGAGTATAGCCAGGGGCTTCGAGTTCCACAAGGCCTCCCACGACCGGGTCCCCTACCCCCTCGGTTCTCATCTCCTCCCTCCGCCCACTCAGCATCAGCCACACTGGCTGCCTCGCTGTTCTTCAGACAGGACAGACACTCCCACCTCTGGCCTTTGTGCTCACTGTGCCCTCCCCCTGGAATGCTCTCCCCGCCGACATCTGTCTGGCTGCCCCGCACCTCTTGTGGGTGTTTACAAATGTCATGTTCTTCGGCCACCTCTCTAAAATTGCACCGTCACCTCATGTCTCATTCCTTCTTTGCAGTTATACTGTCCTCCTTAGCACTTACACACCTCCTACACACGGTGCCATTTATGGGAGTTGTGGTTTGACTCACTGACTGGCTCTTGGCATTGACTCTCCAGTGCTCAGAACTGGCCTGGTCACGTACTAGACGCTCAGCATGTAGTTGTCAATGGTTGAATGGAAATTGGTCACCAGAGGCTGGATGAGCAAAACACTCACATTCCAGTGGCTGAGTCTTAGCTGCGGTGATCTTCTCTCCTAGGTACTCCACCATCTACACCATGTTTCCCGTGTTCTCCCTGGTCTTGGACAAAGACGTCAAGTCGGAAGTTGCCATGTTGTATCCTGAGCTCTACAAAGATCTCCTCAAGGTTCTCTGAGCCCCTTCCTCCCCTTCCCTCCCCCCTCCTACCCCCTCCCTCCCCTTCCTTTCTTCTTTCCTTCCTTCCTTCCTTCCTTTCCTCCTCCTTCTATATTTCTTATGTAAGATTTCTGATTTGAACACACTTGAACTGATGGCTTTGGGGAGGAAGGTGTGGGAACTTCTTTTTTCTTAAAAAAGTCACACGGTCAAGTGTAAAGAATATTGAACGGCACAGTAATATATAAACAAGCCAACTAATGGCTTTTTAAAAAGCCCCTGACAGTTCCATTTTGCACCTGCAACTTGTGTCTGCTCCTGGCCGTGTTTCTGCACCTTCTAAAAAGTGTGTGTTTGTGTGTGATTTCATTTATTTGTTCTCAAGGGGTTTTTACTAAAGGACAGATTTATTCCTGTCTAATATCAATTCTCTTTAAAAACACTTCTTTCAATGCAGACAGGCAGGTGGCCTTGTCTTGTTCGGGAAGAAGGGCATGAAGGCGGCAGCAGGCGCCCTGGATGTGCCACATACTGTAACCTGTTCTCTCTTTCTCTCATTTAGGGACGGCCATTGTCCTACAAGACATTCTTAATATGGGTTTTGATTAGCATCTATCAAGGTAAGGAAGGGTGGAGCCACCTCTTATCTTGACCCCAGGGCCAGCTTTACTGGTGTGTTGTCTGTAGGGCATGGAGCAGCTGGAACCCTAAAATCGCAGTACGGAGCGTGACAGCGTGCGCCCAGGAAACCCCCCTCAGTTCGTCCTAAGAACTCGAGCTTTCAACACAGCGGAAGTCCCATATGTGAGACGGGGTTGTCAGCTTAATGCGATGAAGTCAGGGAAAAATATAATTAATCTTAATCAAAACCGGCCGAGGTGTTTGAGCCTCGGTAATAAAAAGCGTTGGCTTCTTCTGAGGTCACGTTGTTGTTTTGGAAAAACATATTTATTTCCGTGGCCTCCAGAGAGGGGTCCCTCAGACTGGAGAGGTTTTGAAGATAACTTATGGAAGTTTGAGAAGAAAATATCAAAGCCTCTCTTTGTTTTGTTTTTATTTTTCCTCACTTTTTTTTGGAATTTTTATGTATGTTTCATAATGTACATTATATACAGTGGTCCTAATGTCTCTCCACATCTGCGCATATATAATGTACAAATATACGTGGTATATTTGGGTTTATGTTTAATGTTTTCTACTGATGGGATGCACAGAGAGTGTAGAGACCGCTGAGTTTGCTGGCAGGAGGTTACGTTGTCACTAAAACATGAAAGGGTGAGCCCTCCCCAGCGTGGCTCTGTTGGGCTGGGCATTGTCCCCCAAAGCGAAAGGTTGCCAATTAGATTCCTGGTCGGGGCACATGCCTGGGTTATGAGTTCGGTCCCCGGATGGGGCATGTATGAGAGGCAACCGCTCAATGTCTATCTCCCTCTCTCCTTTCCCCTCTCTCTAAAAATAAATAAAAACAAAATCTGTAATAAAAGTGAAAGGGGGTATTTTTAAGGAGTATATCAAGGCATCATATCCGCATCTAGTTAAAGAAAGCCCTGCCTAAAGGTTCATGATAATAGACGACGGTGCGCCATCCCCTCCCCCCATCTCCAGCGGCTCTCACGGGCAGCCCCTCGGGGAGTTTGGGGGTTTCCTCCCGGGCCCTGCCTCTGAGTATTGCCCTTGTGCTGAAGTGTTTTTGCTCAGGGTGAGGCACTATCCCTTCTGTCCCTGCTGTGCATAATTTTTTGCGTGTCCCTCTTGGTGGCCTCTATCATTTCGTATAAAATTTACCATCTGAACTCTTGAAGTGTCCAGTTCCGGAGTGTTCAGTATAGTGACAGTGTTGAGAGACAGGTCACCAGAACTTCGTCATCTGGCAAAACTGAAACTGCATCCATTCGACCACCGGCTGTTTTTTCCCCGCCTCCTGGCAGCCCCTGGTAATCGCGGTGACCGCCTTTCTGTCTCCGACTATGACGACGTTAAATGCCCTGTGTAAGAGGGATCACACATGTTCGTCTTTTTGTGACTACCTACTCCTATCAATTTAAATAATATATTTAAATTTCTGTTTCTTGTTCCAGCGACTTCAGATAGTTAACCTCTCCTCTTCCCTCTCCCTCCGTCCCTCCCCCGCTGCAATTATAGACTCATACATTTTTTTAAAAGATTTTTTTTTAATTATAGACAGTGGGGAAGGGAGGGGAAAGAGAGGGAGAGAAACATCAATGCGTGGTTGCCTCTCATGCACCCCCTACTGGACAGCTGGCCCACAACCCAGGAATGTGCTCTGACTGGAAATCGAACCGGCGACCCTTTGGTTCGCAGGCTGGCACTCAGTCCACTGAGCCACACCAGCCAGCACGAGACTCTTTATTATATAAGGTCAAAAGGGGAAATCGGAAAACTAGAATGTGACACCTCTTCAAAACTTTCATAAAGCACCACTCATTTAACAGATGGTACCTTTCATGTCTAAACGGAAAAACAAGAACTCACAAAGGGGCCTAGTGTGAGTGAGCAGAGCGGGCCTTGGTGGGGACGCGTGGAGGCGCAGCGCCCGGCGGAGGGGCCGCGAGGGGTGCGGCGGCCTCTCCCCCACCAGACCTCTCTCCACGTCCCCAGGGAGCACCATCATGTACGGCGCGCTGCTGCTCTTCGAGTCAGAGTTCGTCCACATCGTGGCGATCTCCTTCACGTCGCTGATCCTCACCGAGCTGCTGATGGTGGCCCTGACCATTCAGACCTGGCACTGGCTCATGACGGTGGCCGAGTTGCTCAGCCTGGCCTGCTACATCGCCTCCCTGGTGTTCCTACACGAATTCATTGGTAAGACCCCCGGGCGGGGAAAGCCTGCCCTTCAGGAGCAGAGGTCTCACCGGCCTGGGAAGGACGGCAGCCTCCCCAGCTCTCGGGTCCTGGGCTCTTCATCCAGCAGGACTTTGCCGCCCCCGTTTCCTTACCAGTGACCCTTGAGGCAAGTGGCCCCTGTGAGGCAGCCACCCGGAACCGAGGCTGTGGGCATGAGCTCAGCACAGAGTGTTTCCCTTCAGAACCGCGCCGTGCTCGCTAGCTTAGAAGAGGATGCTGTTCACGTGAACAAGGACCTGGAGGGGCTCTCCAGGGAGCGGGCCACTGTGCCGGGCTCTGTGGAGCAGTGGCGATGGCAAGTGTCCAGGCCTGGCTCAGAAATGGATGACAGTCTGGCAGGACTTCCCCTTATCCAGTTGAGAAACTGCCTTACCACAAAAGCATCTTTGATCATGACTCTTGTGTATGAGCAAACTCCTTAAAAAGGTTTTGGTAAAGATAAAGGAACATTCGTGTGGAAAGTGAAGTCTTAGAACAGTTTGACAGTTGTCCCCAAAAGTTTCCCCGAATGGGTTTTGTGAGCACCTACTATGTGCTCGGTGGCTTGAGGCTGGGCAGTCCCACGGGCTTAGAAGACAGGAGCTCTGCCATCAGGGAACTACAGTCAGTCGCCTTAGATGCAAGCGGCACAGGGAGGGCCTTCGGCCTGGCACTTAGTAGGTGCTTAATCAACGCCAGTGGCGTTTTCCCCACCCTGCACTCAGTCAGGGGCAGCGGGGAGGATGTTCACTGGGGTCTCCACTCCACGTACTGTTGAAAGCCACAAGTGGTCCCTCCTCTCTTCTCAAAACCTTGTAACTGCCCGGTTTGCATCCTCAGGCATAGAAGGGGGCCTGCCTGTGCCAGGGGGCGGGCGGGCGGGTGGGTGAGGAGGCAGATGCTCTGCCTGCCCCGTGCCACCCTCAGATCGGTCTGGTGGCTTGCTCTGACCCTCACTCCGGCGAAGGGGGAAGTTGTCGGGAAACAGAAAAGCGTTGAGGGTCACTTTCTGCTTCCCGGCGGCCGTGTTTGAAAAGAAAATCTCCGACTGTCAGATTCCAAATCAAAACCACCTGTGAGAATTGTCGTTCCTCTGTAGTTTTCTTTTCCTAGTTGTTGAAAAGAGCAGTTCACCGAAGAGCAGGAATCCAGAAGGCAGGGCAGAGAGAGGGGAGAGTGAGGACAGTTAGCCTGACAGCCCTGAGGGGCCATTAGCGTGGTGGCACGTCCATCCCCTTAAAAGGCTGAGTGGAGGACAGGAGCCGAGGCCGGGAGGCCGCGTGCCGGTGACGGGTGATAGCCGCGGCGGCTGCTTCTGGGCCGCACGCACCTCCTGGCACGTCCCCCCTCCCCGCTCACCATTGTCTTCCTGTTTGCTTGCAGATGTGTACTTCATCGCCTCGCTGTCCTTCTTGTGGAAAGTCTCCGTCATCACTCTGGTCAGCTGTCTCCCCCTCTACATCCTCAAGTATCTGCGACGACGGTTCTCCCCCCCCAGCTACTCGAAGCTCACGTCGTAGGCTGTGCGTTCCGTGGAGGGGGCTCTGGTCTCCGCTCCCCTGACGGGGAGAGTTCAGGTTCCGTTCATCTTAACCGCCGCCCGAGGACTTGGCAGGAACGGCCCACACGTGCTGTTTGGACGTGTAGAGGCCCCGCCCGGAGTCCTGCGCTGACTGAACAGGAGGCAGGCCCGACGGCGCCCACGCAGGCCTGTCCGGCTCCCCCGTGACGCCCGTTGGAGCGAATGTGAATTCGTCCTCCTGGGTGGCTCAGCCAGGAGGTCTCTCTGTGGGTCACTGTGCAAGCTCCCTTATGACTTGAATTTTGTTGTCATGTGATAAAAGTTTCTGTTTAGCTGAAGATTATAGGGGATTTTGGGGTTTGCTTTCTTTTCCAACAGTCCTACTGTGTGTGTCCTCTTGACGTCTTTCTTGCTCCTAAAAACTGGTTTTAGAGAAATGGAAAGCTCTCGGTGGAGGTTTGGGGGACAAGGCAGTGGCACCTGGTAAAAAGTTGTCCGAACACTAATCTTGACTTGGAAATGCCACACACCCTCTGTAAGGCAGCCCCACATATTGGAGCTGCACGGGCTTCCTAGGATCAGAAAAAGCCAAGGAGAGGCCAGGGAGAGAGCGCGCCATAAATCCAACGTCATCCTGCGTCTGATTGCGCATCCACAGCGCTGGAGCTAACGTCAGCGGCCACCTCGTCAAAGAATTTCAAAGGTGTTCTTCTGCTGTGTTCGGACCTGCTAGCAATTATCAAGCCCGTGGCTACCTGAGGACACCCTCAAACATTTTCAGAGTTGTTTTCGCAGGAAATGTGCCACCGGACAGCCCCTAAATGTGTCGACAGGGTGATAAGAGAGGCAGCTCGTTCTTTAGACAACGTCACTCATGCAGCTCAGCCCCTGGGTCCAAAGCGGAAAGGTCGGGGACGGGGGCCCCTCGCTTCCACAGAGATCTGTTTCCTGTTAGGAGGAGGGATTGCGGACGAAAGGACAGAGGCAGGGGCTTCTTGCCACGGGGCCACGCACGGTGGCAGCTTCACGCAGGGTCCCGCCGTGGGGCACAAGCAGCCAACCGCTCCCCGCCTTTGTGGCACCCTTGGCGTGCTCGTGTGTGTCTGTTGCCCTTTTAAATCTTTGTAAAGTGACAGTAAGTTGCAGGCTCTGGTAAATTGGCTATTGGCAGCACTTCTGTTTTGTTTTGAGATGCTACAATTCTGCAGTATCGTCCCCTGTCTGCCCCAGCTTCGTTTCTGCCCCCCCGCAAAGAGCTGCAGAGAATGCATACAGCTTGAGGCCAGAGTAGGTCCCCAGTTGTTGGTATGGAAAATAATACATCATTAATAGATAATGATACAAGAAGAAACTGTGTTTCATGTACTCACAACTGTAAACCTCCTTCGGCCCCCACCCTGTACTGCCGCCAAGGGATGGTGATTTTGGAATAGGGTCTTTGTCCAGGAGTTTCAGAAAGGGCGAGCAGGTCTGGCTTCTTCTCGGCGTTATTTTATGCAGTTTTGAAGGCAGAGGTGGAGAACGTTGTGCTAAGAGTGGCTGCAGCTCAGCCTGTCGTCGGGGGTCAGGCTGTCAAACCGGAAGTCTTAAGGAATTCCACTCTGAGCTTGCAAACCTCGGACCTGGCCTTGTTCACAGGCACGCCATGGCCCTGCGGGGAGGTCTCATGAGTTCCCTGTTAGGAGATTTCAGGTGTTTCCAACAGACACAGGGCGTGAAGATGGTCTCTTGGGTCTTTCCCATCATTCCCAATTTTGACCACGGTGCATGAGCTGACTTAGAAGATACTTATTGCATGACATCTCGAAGGGAGAAAGCTTCTGAGAGGGGGTCCAGAAGCCATCTCTGGGAGGCGAAGGTTGCTCGTCAGTGCCCCCCAAAACGTCCCTGCTCTCCCTTCTGAGCTGCCCTCTGGTGGAGGTAGCCAAGGACGAGAGGGACTGACACCCCAGAGGAGGCCACCGCGTTGTCAACCACCCCGTCAGCGGGCAGCCGGCTCACGCCCCGTGCTGGAGCCCTCGGGCATTAGGGACACACGTGCATGCCTCTCAAACTGCGCCAGACTGTCAGTCCCAGCAGAGAGCGCACGCTCGGGCACTCCCAGGGGCTCTCCGAGTTGGGGGAGACCGAGAGAAAACACAACACCTGAGCTATTTTGAGGGAAACCCCCAAGTTCATAAACCTTAACTGAAAGGCTTCTAGTGACTGTTTTCTTGGTTCTCAATCTGGAAAGGTCTTCCCTTTGCCTTGGAACTCAACGGGACCTCAGTCCCCAGCGGCCAATTTAATCCGAGGCCAGAGGCCCGTGGCCACAGTCCGCTGCTTAAACACTTCTTAAAGTAAAAATTACAACTCCCTCTGCCCACCGACCACACTAGGTATTTGTGTCAGAGCAAGCACTTTTGTTATTTATGATTATTTTTGTTGTATCTTTTGGCGATCGGTGCATGCGCGGAGGAAGAATGGGTCCTGTTTGGTTTCTCTCCCCCCCCCCCCTTTGCCTCCTTCCTCCCTTTCTCTAAGGAAATGGCCAGACAAGCTTGTCCTTCTCGACTGATGTCTTGTGTCCGACAGGTTTGATTCTCACTTCGAGAGCGAGCCTGCGCACATGTGTGTGGCCGGTACTGCTGGCTGAGGCTCGGTGCACAGACTCGCGTTGCTTGGGACAAAGGACGTGGCTGCAGAGCAGTGAAGGGCGTCCCAGGAACATCTTGACGCTGAAGCAGACAAGCCTGTTTACAGCGACCTGGTGCTGGGAAGTCCGGAGCTGGGACTTTGCCCGCTACCATTATTATATCCAGATCCTAGACTAGCTTCGCCGAAGTGCAACCTTTTTTTTGTAGCAGTAGTTTTAAATACCAACATCTGCGTACCCTTTCCCCAGTTTCTCTGCTGAAAATTTAGGTTATTTTGACAACTTCGGGATGCATTTTGAGTTTTGTGCTCATTGGAAGTTGACGTGATGACGCCGGTTTTTCTTCCTCTGGACTTTTGCTTTCCTACTTCGTTTTGTTTTTACTGGGGAGGGGATGGCAACACCCTCACGCCTCTGTGGGGCCGCGTTTTAAACCTCTGCCAGAGTTGCAAATGGGACCTATCCGTGCTTCTCCTCCATCCGGCTTAAGGCAAGCACCTATCAGCTATTCTTAATCTTTTTTGTGTGTTTGAAGTGTGTATATATGATGTCATTTCAAGGCTGTAGAAGACGTGTTTGGTTTGGGTTAAAATCCCATCATGCCCAGCTTTGTATTCATTTAAAAAAAAAACAACCAATATGAGCTTTGTAACTACAACAGATTTTATTTCTCCCTGCTTCTTTTATTTTTTTATCCTCACCCAAGGACATGATTGATTTTAGAGAGTGGGGACGGGAGAGGGAGAGAGGGAGAGAAACATTGGTGGAAGAGAGAAACATCAACTAGGTGCCTCTTGCTCATGCCCCGACTAGGGCTCGAACCCCAGCCTTTCGGTGCACAGGACGACACGCCAACCAACTGAGCCATACCCATCAGAGCTCCCCCCTTCTTTTAATGTAAAGCTTTTTGTCATTTGTATATGCTTCTTAGAAAATATTTCCATTAATTATGTCCATTTCATCTTGGAGAAAATATACATTATGTTTCTGGATGGCACTGAAATGCACAGCTTATGTGAGCAGAGTTTCTAAGACCTTGATTTCCGTAGCATCTTCTGATGCCAAAGCAGCGTTACCCGTGAAGCTGCCTCGTCCACCCCGGCGTGGTTGGAGGTCCAGTCCAGTAATGTCACTGGACAATGTCACTGAATATTGTGTTTGTGGGGGCAGGTGGGGGGTGTGGTGTTCACAAAAAAAAAAAGAAAAAAAATCATGGCTAATTTATGATTTTCTTGGGATGGGGCTCACAGCAACCTCCTCCAGGATTCCACGAGCTCCTCATGAGAAGGTCCCTTTGTGTGTAATCCCCGTGGCTGGCGTTCAGCAGGACAGCGTGTTTTGATTAGGGAGAGCTTGGGCGCAGGGCGCTTTAATTTCACAGGAACTCCCAGATGATTTAAATTCTCGATCCATTGATGACACACACATGATCCTGTGTGTTTCTGAGCGATTCTGCTTTCATTGTCTGCCAGCGCGGCCCGTTGCTGTTGCCCAATAAAGCTTATGTACTTTATGCCTTTGGGGGTCGTTTTAATTTGTGTGGAAACATGAATTCTGGTGTCAAAATGAGGGCTTTTTAGGCTAATGCTCCTATTTTGTGCGGAGCTCATGGTACATCAACGGTAAATTGCTTTTTCTCCATTAAAAAAAATTATTTTGATGTTGGCAAAAATAAAAAAAAAACCACCCCAAACCCATGCACTACTCTGTTCTGTATTCCAGACATGTCAGGATTTCAAAAGGTGATTGATATACATAGAAAAAAGAGAGAAGAGGTTTTACAAGATTTGTATTTAATTTAGTACACAGTCCTTGATTGAGTTGGATAGCTTTATTTTTTTTTTAAAAATCAAGTGATAGAGAATTTAGGAACGTAGTCACTTAAGCTTTAGGCAAATGCAGTTTCTAAGCTGTTGTGTAGGAAACAGAGGACATGCTTTATTAATTTCATCTAATGATTCTCAAGTAGGAGTGATTTTGTCCCCTAGGGGACGTGTGCCAATGTCAGAAGTCATTTTTGGTTGTCACAGCTCGGAGGGGCGGGGTTGCTCCGCTGCCAGCGAGGAGAAGCCAGGGATGCTGCGGACCCGACGACACACAAAACAGCCCCCACAAGAAAGAATCATTAGACCCCAAATAGCAAAAGTGCTGAGGCTGCAAAATCCTAATAGAATCTGCACATCAGTTTTACCATTTGTAGACGTCTTTCCTGATTTCCAAGGGAGCCCAACACGATACACTCTGTCTCAGCCATGTATGCATCCAACGGGCCAGATGGTTTAACTAGTAGCTGTTGGTGGCACGGGCTGCTGGTTTGCTCTCACTGGCTCTCCATCGAAAGGCCATTCTCAGCTTACCAATGAGAGAGAGAGTTGTGAATGAACTGTGTCTTCATCAACAGTGGCTCCCCTGGGCAAATGGGGGAAGCGTGCTCTTAGCTCTTGTGGGCTCGAGAGGCGAAGCTGGACGGCACTTTTCCTGAAACATGTGCTCTCGGTGTAAAGTCGCAGACTGCATTTGCCTGCTGCAAAATTCCGTTAACAAGTGGACGGCTGAGCCGCTGGGGGAGCCTGCGGATTGAAAGACGTTTCCATTTCCTGTCGTCAACAACCAGGCAAGCCCTGCGTACCCAAGACGCTGCTTTCATAGCTTCAGAAATCATTTCATGGCCAAGAGCTCCGTTAAAAATAGACATTTGTTTTTATGCTGTTGAACGGACTATTTTGCTGGACTCAAAAAAAAAACAAAGACAAAAACTAAAACAAAAACCAAAAAACAACTGGGGGGTGGGAGGTGAATATGTATTTGATCTTGGATATTTGTATTTAAACGTTTTTGTTTTATTTTTCTCAATTACAGTTTACATTCAATATTATTTTGTATGAGTTTCAGGTGTACAGCATAGTGGTTAGACAATCATATACTTCACCAAGTGGTCCCCTCTTGGGGACCCACCTGGCACCCTACGTCGTTATTACAACATCGTTGACTGTATTTCCTATGCTGTATCCCTGTGCCTGTTTTGTAACCGCCAATCTGTATTTCTCAGTCCCTTGACCTTTGTCACCCAGCCCTCTGGCCCCCCTCCCATCTGGCCACCTTCATTCCGTTCTGTGTATCTATGAGTCTGTTTCTATTTTATTTGCTCGATTATATTGTTCATTAGATTCCTCATATAAATGAAGTCATATGGTATTTGTCTTTCTCTGACTGAGTTATTTCACGTAGTATAATGCCCTTCAGGTCAATCCACGCTGTTGCAAATAGCATGATTTCAACCTTTTTTAGGGCCAAGTAGTATTCCATTGTATACATGTGCCACCACTTTTTATCGGCTTGTCTGTTGATGGGCACTCGGGTTGCTTCCCTAGCAGGGCTATAGTAAATAACAATGCAGTGAACATTGGCGTTTCTTCAGATATACCCAGAAGTGGAATTGCTATGTCAAAAGGCAGATCCATTTTTAATTTTTTGAGGAAACGCCATACTGTTTTTTCCCAGTGACTGCACCAATCTGCATTCCCACCAACGGTACATGAAAATTTCCTTTTCTCCACATCCGTGCCAACACTTATTTGTTTATTTATTGATGATAGCTATTCTGACAGATGTGAGGTGGTTTTAATTTGCATTTCTCTGATGATTAGTGATATCGAGTATCTTTTTGTATGTCTGTTGGCTATCTGTGTGTCCTCTCTTTAGGTTCTTTGCCCATTTTTTAATTGGATTGTTTATTTTTTTGGTGTTGAGAAGTATGGGTTCTTTATAAATTGTGGATATTAACACTTTATCAGATCTACCATTGGTGAATATTTTCTCCTATTCAGTGGGTTGTCTATTCATTTTTGTGTATGTTTCCTTTGCTGTGTAAAAACTTTCTAGTTTGATATAGTTCCATTTGTTTATTTTCCTTTGCTCAAGCAGATATATTAGAAAAAATATTGCTAAAAGAAGTGTCTGAGATTTTACTGCCTTCATTTTCTTCTAGTTTTATGGTTTCAAGTCTTACATTTAAGTCTTTACTCCATTTTGAGTTTATTCTTGTATATGATGTAAGAAGGTGGTGTAGTTTCTTTCTTTTTTTTTTTTTTTTTGGTCCATTTTTCCCAATAACATTTATTGCATAGACTGTCTTTACCCCATTGTGTGTTCTTGCCTCCTTTGTTAAATATTAATTGACTGTGCAGGTGTGGGTTTATTTCTGGGCTCTCTGTTCTGTTTCATTGACTGATATGTCTGTTGTTATGCTAGCACTATGCTGTTTGATTAGTATAGCCTTGTAGTATAGTTTGACTTTATCAGTTTTTTTGGTGGAATCTTTATGGTTCTCTATATACAATATTATGTCATCTGCAAATAAGGACAGTTTTATTCTTTCCAATTTGGATGCCTTTTATTTGTTCTTCTTGTCTGATTGCTATGGCTAGGACTTCCAGTACTATGTCAAATAAGAGAGGTGAAAGTGAACATCTTTGTCTTGTTCTCAGTCTTAAGGGAAATGCTTTTAGTGTTTGTCTATTGTGCATGATGTTGGCTGTGGGTCTGTCATATATGGCCTGTATTACATTGAGGTATGTTCCCTCTATTCCCACTTTGCTGAGAGTTTTTATCATAAATAGCTGCTGGATTTTATCAAATGCTTTTTCTGCATCTATTGATATGACCATATAATTTTTATCTTTCATTTTGTTTATGCGGTGTATCATGTTTATTGATTGGATATTGTACCAACCTTGCACCCCGGAATAAATCCCACTTGATCTTGGTATATGATCTTTTTAATGTATTGCTGGATTTAGTTTGCTAATATTTTGTTAAGGATTTTAGTATCTATGTTCATCAGGGATATTGCCATATAATTTTCTTTCTTTGTAGTGTTTCTTTATATGGTTTTGGAATTAGAATAATGTTGGCTTGAGAGACTTCCCTCCTCTTGAATTTTTTGGAATGGTTTGAAAAGGATAGTTGTGAGTTCTTCTTGAATGTTTGGTAAAATTCATCTTGAAG